GTTTGCACAATACCAACAACAGCAGCCAACCGGTTTCCAGCAGCCCATGCAAACTGGCTTCCAACAGCAGCCCCACTTCACCCAGGGCTTCGGGAATGGCAGTCCCTTTGCCGACCCACCACGCGCACCGTTCCAGCCCCTCCAGGCTCAGCCCACTGGTTACAACTCGTTCCAACCATCCCCGCTTAACCCACAGGCGACTGGCGTCAACCGCTTCTTACCCCCGGCCCTTGCGCCACAGCCAACCGGTTACCAAAGCACTCCGCCTCTTCCTCCCATGCCGCCAATGCCTTCGATGCCTACGGCTCAGCCTTTGGTGCCACAGAAGACCGGTCCACCTCCAAGCATCAAGTTTGGTGTACAGCCCGCAAAGAAGCTTACGCCTCAGCCGACCGGGAGGGCGAACCTTGCCAATGCCAGTAAGTCTCTTAAACTGTTTTGTGTAATCACTTTCTAACCATCGATCAGCTCCCCAAAATCCTTTCGGTTTCTAATTCCACTTGCGATGGTTGTTCGCTCTTTTCGTACCCCTTTGCTTACTTACGGGGCATCCGCTTAATTACCCTACCACCATATGTATATGTACATAAGTTCTGTGATACTTGTTTGTTGTTCGGAGGTGTGGATTCGCAAGGCCCGATAGCATTCTTCATCACTTCACATAGCACTTACTTGCATTCAACACCCCCAATTACATGCAATCCGGCGTCTTTGCTGTTCTTTTTTCTGCTTTACACAGCCATTGCTTTGATTTGGGTATGCTGGTAGGCCCGATGTTGATTGTTACGGAAAATCAGCATGCGCCACTTTATCGGCCCTTTAATTACATGTCTAGAATGGGGCTGAGATGCGTGGTATGATGGCTCAGCTACGGAGATGGTCGGACCTACGTAGCTTGTAAAACAGAGATAGTCCAAACCTAGATGTGCTTCTAGACAATGTGACATGCTCAGAGCAACTGCACAAAGCGTATGTCATAAGTGCGGGATAGATTCACCCCTGTTCTCGAGCTGTGGTTCACCCCTTCGCTCGAAACAGATGCGAGACCAAGCCTTTGCCAAGTAAAGCTTAGCCCAACACATCAATTGCATGAGCACCCCTGCTGTGGCTGGCTGGCCGATCCGATGTCGTATCCACACAAAACCGCGCACGCGTTCGTGGCTCTGCTTGTCAAGTGTTGCAACTCAAGATAGAGCGTCGTAAATGTACATCGGCCAGATGCATCAGTGTTAAGGGCTTCGTCATCGTGCAGCCAACCCAAAAAATGCCCGATGTCGCGCTGTCAAAAAGCATGACAAGCAGGTGTGGCGATGACGAAAGCACACCAAGCTTCCTTCGTACCCCGGCTTATTTGCGCCAATAGTTGGGCCCACTGCGAATGTGGCTCATGCTAACTAGCGTAATAGACCGGCTGGGCCGAGTGATGCATGTCCGCGTGAGTGAGTGAGAGGATGCGCGCGTTTTAAAGGCGGCGCATCCCCTCGCTCCCAGTGGAAGGGTCCACTGTATTTCCTCCAGCCTTACGTTGCCTTAATCCTACCTTCACTCTCAACGCCCTACCTCGCAAGGGCTGCTATCGTCTTCACAAGCGAGAATCAAGATTCTGGTGGTTCCTCGGCGAAAGCTTGGTATCAGACTTGGTTGCGCGACACCTGATTACTACCGGTTGCTGCCTCATCCTACGTACATCACCGGCGAACAAACGGATCGCGAACGCATAACATCAAGCCGAACGCGACTCTCAATCCACACATTCTAGGAAATCGGTTTAATAAACATGTCGAACCAAGGCTACTACCAAGGCGGTCCTCAGTACCCACAACAAAGGTACGTTGTTTCCTACCCCAAATCGACAACTCGCACCTGTGTCGCAAAGTCATGCACACTTGATTCTTTTCCCAATATCCAAAACATCTTACTTGGTGGAAGATGCTAACGCCATTCTCACAGCTACGGCCCCCCAGGCGGCCAAGGCTACGGTCAACCACAATATGGCGCTCCACCACCACAGCAACAAATGTACTACGGCCCTCCGCAAGGACAGTATCAACAGGGCCCGCCACCCAAACAGAAGAAGGACAGGGGTTGTTTGACAGCTTGGTAAGTTGGTACCGTACACAATTAAAGAACAAGGAACTGCAACTAACAGAAGATTAGTCTGGCAACACTTTGCTGTTGTTTCGTTTGCGAGGAGGGATGCGAGTGCTGTGCTGATTGCTGCGAGTGTGCGGCAGAGTGCTGCTAGACAGTAGGAATGATAATGAGGAGTGGCATAGGGGCACTGAGCGACTATCGGGTATTGAGAACATGGTGTCAGCACATGTCGGTCATGCGGCTGAGTTTTGGCGAGACGTGAGTCGGCTCACATGTTCATGATTGGCTTTCTGTTTCTTTGAGTATACCTGACCACTTCCGGTTTCTTTTTACAATGTTCAATCCATGGCCTTTTTGTTTCTCGTAACAAAAGCAGTGCATGCTTCTTCATCCATCGATCCGGAGCCGACTTTCTTGTCTAGCCAACTTTGATGCATTCATGGTCTTGTTGGCTTGGCCTGTAGAGTTTTGAAGAGGGAGAAACACACGTTTGACACTCAGTGAGCTCACGTTTGCATGTCCTGTAACCTTGTTCTTCTGAATAGGGCTTCTGGTTTTGGAAGTCGAAGTGATATAGTAAAGAAGCTGCAAGACGAAGGCTCATATACGTGCCGTCAGAGGCTTTCGTATGTGCTGTTTCCGCAAGCATCTTAATGCAAAGTCACTAAAACGTAAGCCCGCATAGCCTTTTATGTTCCCCACTGGAAGGTCATCGTACAAGGATTTCAAAGTGATATCATAGGTGTCTATCCATCAGCAAGGGCAAGAGGCCAACCCGATCTCAATGCCTACTTGCACAATAGCCACAAGATTCCCGATCGCAAGCTTTTTGCACGCACCCATCGTCACTTCTTAATCACCAGCAACACCTTATACATCCTTCCAACTCCGACTTGTCACCCTGTCTCTTGCATCCGATCTTTGGCCTCTTCCCATATCTCGATACTCTCTCGCGAGCCCACCCCTCTCGCTGCCTTGATCAATCATTCTCATGGTTCTTCTCTCTTCCACAAACGTAGCAGGCTGCCCGTCTTCATCGATACCCTTCCAGCTTCTAACTTCAGTGATCTCTCCAGAGTGCGCGCTCTCCGAATCCGTGTTATCTTCCTCCTGTCTTCGGCAGTTAGATGGCGGGGTCACATGCCCGGTACGCTCGAGGGCTCGTGTGCGGGTAACGTGACGATATAGTGGCTGTGGTGGACGCTCGGGCGATGGAGAGGAGGGTGGTGCATGTGGTGTATGGCGAGCGGTTAGAGGAGAAGTACGCCGGAAGCGAGTTTCTTCATAGCGTCTAGAAATTGGAGGGGAGGGCGAGAGACGGTGCTGTCGATCGATACGAATCTCCTCTTCGTACTGTTTTCTTGGAGATGGCGATGAGTGGCGAATACGGATCCTTTCAAAATCCTGAGTTGGTGACTCAGGCGGAGGGCCATCGACAACTCGGTGCCGAGAATACTCCCGATAGTGATTGTAGTTGTCGTCGCTTGCCATTCGCGTATCTAAATACCTTGGTCTGCCTCTTGATTCAAGTACCGGCTCCTCTTGCCTTCCTCCTTCACCAAAATGGACATGTGGCCCTTTCACTTCGACATGCATTCTCTCTTGGCTTTCGCGCACTGTGTCCTTCCTCCGGTAAGAGGTCTCGCGATCGGTGCCTATAGGTTTCAGAATACTCCGACTAGGCGATTCTAGACGACGACGCGGCACAGAGTCAGCGTTGCTCGAAGTTTCATCTGACAATTTCACAGAACTACGACGCTCTCGAACGATCGACCGGTACGGCCTTGGATGAGATATAAGGCGAGCTTCCGCTTCCTCGCTCCGCCCCTCAGTACGAAAGCTGACTCGAACGGGAGATCTACTTTGACTCCTAGGCCTGCGTTCTTGCGACTCAGTCCGATACATGACTCTCGTGGATCTCGTCTGAGGCGGAGGGGACGGACTGAGCTCGACGATCCTGGAACTCGCTCGGCGTGAGGAGCTTCTGTCAATCTTCCTATAGGAATGAGTATGGACAATATCTGGTGGAGGCCATACCTCATCGGATTTTGAGACACGACTGGGGAGTGGCGCAGGCGGCGCAGAGTATACTTGATCTGACTGTGTTGCCCTTGAGCGAATAATGTCAGGCGGGAGCCAGGCTTCTCTAGCATACCTTGACGAACGACGGGGACTCAACGAAAAAGTGTGTGTTCTCCGCTCAGTTCTGGATTCCTCTCGAGATCGTTGGAGAGCTCGTAGGCCCAGGTATGCTTGACTAGATTCACGTCTAATCACGCGTGGGCGACTGGGAGAGTAACGCGCAAAATAGGTTTCCTCTCTGCTTCGCCTCCGACCCCTGCGCTCATCATGTTCGATGTCGATATGGACACACTCTCCAGGCCACTCGCATGGCACATCGGCCGTACACTTTCGGATGTGTGTGTATCTGCTGGTTGAGCGGTAGGAGCTCTTGAGCTTCTTCTCGCATCGTCGGCAGAGTGTGGGAACCATAGGCTTGCCAGGGAGGACCGGGTTACTGCGATGGAAGCCTGCGGAGCGCATTTGGCCGCAGTGACTACAGGTGTGACAGAGCATAACTGGTACAGCCACTTCCTCGACCTGCGGTGGTGGTGCCGCAGTTGCCTGGGATTGACCATATCGTTGGTAGTGATATCGTTCGCTTGTCTGCTGTGATCTTGACTCCATATTATCCTGCTGCATATTCCGTGACGATGGCACCATGGCGCTCGTAAGTGGAGCCATTCGCTGACGATCTATATCAGAATTCTGGTTGTTATACTGCCAGTCGGGGTTATATCCTAGTGGAGGCGGGGGCTGAGGGTTATAGTTCCTTGGTAACTGAGCATATCCTAATGGACCAGCTGTTGAAATCTGTTGTTGACCCTGTTGCTGTGTCTGCGGATCTAAAAGCGGCGCTGGGCGCTGTGGGATTCCGGTCTGACTGTAGGTGCCTTGGCCGCATCCAGCCTGCGGATAGCCTCCCTGATATCCTGGAAACGAAGCGACGGAAGAGGAGGCTGCCGGTGGGGGTGTTGGTGCCGCGGGAGGTATTCCAAGGCCTGGAAATTGCTATAAAGATGTAAGCTGTAGTCTGTCGATTGGCGAATCACGCGAGAGACCGGACAAGACAGTCCGATTTCAAGCACTCCTGTATCTCATTGTTAGCCAACCTGTAGTCTCTGGGAACCGTGACGCACTCACACACTGAAAAGATACGAGTTGGCTGGCTGGGCGAAGGAACCCGGGTACTGAGGAATTGGCTGACCTTGGTTTTGGTCTTGTCCGTTGCTGCCACTGCCACTGCCACTGCCGCCAGTGCGGCCCATGTACGACTCAAAGGCCCTTCTCTGCTCTTCATTGGCCATTGTGTGGTTGTGGTAGGTGCGGACGTGCGACTGGACGTGTAGGAGGAAGGCCGAAGAGCGGCGCTGATTATCGAAGCCACGTGGGCGCCGAGGGAGAGAGGTGCAAATAGGTGTCAAGAGGAAAGAGCGACAGGAAGAAAGGTGGGGCAAACTGAAGATGGACTCAGAGGACTGTAGAAAATCATGTCGCCACGAGCGGTGAACGGGATGTCAAAGTGAAGGAGGGTCGCGTGACCGCAATCCATACCCATCGTATACAGTCGTCGTACTCGAGCCGTGTCGCCAGCCACGGTATCTATGCATTCTTGCCGTAACTCACCTCATGGATGCCTGCAATGGGAGCTAATATTCTTTTATTTCTTCCCAGACGCCCGCCTGCGAACAATGCCAGTATGGCTTATTTTGTACAAATGCTACAAATCTCTAGCAAGATCGTCATATACCTGGAAATCTACTCTACTCTCAAGACCCTAGGTCCCTTTCTCTTGGTGGACCTCTTCTTCTTGTGGCCCTTGTCAAACGACACGGCGCTTTGGTGATCGCGGCCAAAGTTGTCGAGATCCTTGACCTTGTAGATCCTAATGATCCAGTTCTCGCTGGTAAAGGCCTCCTCGATGGTGCTGAGCTCGGGGCCCTGTGCAGGGAGACGCGCGTTACGAACACGATCCTGGGCCTGTCCAGCGGGGAACAGTGCGTTGTAGTTGTAGTACGACATCTTGTACCTGGTAACGTTGTTAGTGGCTGCTATGGCTGGCTGGAACTAGATCACTTACATCAAGCTGTTCTTCATAGTTTCGGTGGCCTCACCGTCTACGCGGTACTCGCCTCGTGGGGTGAAGAAGTTGCGCTCCTTGACCTCATCAGGCCAGATACCCTCAGCGATCCTGACCATCCAGAGGAACTTGTTGATGTCATCACCAGAGTAGCCTAGAAGACCACCAAAGACCACCAAAACGTAGTCAACCTCGTGCTGGCGCATGATGGGGTAGCTGACTTCCTCCCTGGAGCTCATAGCCTTACCAACGGTAGCAATGTGCGTGTTGTTCCAGGTGTTGTTGTCGACAAGGGTAGGGCGGTCGGCCATACCGCCAATCTGGTAACCGTAGTCCCACCAAGACATAATCTTGGCGTTCTGGGGGGTGTTCTGCCTAAGCCAGTAGTATGCCTCACGGTAGTCATCGATGATGTGCTGGCTGCCGTCAGGAAGCCTAGATGCGAGCACGACCGAGGGCGAAGAGTAGGCATTGGAAGTGACCCATGTGCAGTGAAGGACGAAGAGCATGAGGTAGATGGCGGAGGCTCCGGCAACGGTAAGCTTGGAGGCGTATGAGTAGATTCCAACGAGCGGGTTGCGCGTGGATCGGAGACCTTCGGGGATCACTGCTGCAGCGGCAACTGAGACAGCATCAGTGCTACCATTCTCAGTAACGGGCTTGGGAGTCTTGACGTCCAGGTAAGTATCGAGGATCTTGGAGAAGGCCATTGCCGATGCTACGCAGACAATGGGAGTCAGAGTAAGCATGAGACGGACCATGACACCAGCGAAGTAGCTGGCAAGCACAGCGTAGATGACGATGAAGACCTGCTCATCGGTCAAAGTCTGGAAGCACAGGTAGACACCTGCGGGGAAGAGCCAGATCATGAAGTTGAGATCGAAGAAGAAGGCAGGCCACGCGGTAGGCTGATGTTCGGAGACAGAGGCAATGATGGGAATGTGGATCTTGGCGTATCCGGTGTCCCAGAGCGAGTAGAAACGGCCTGTCCAGGGCGCGATGACTCCGGAGACAGTCAGAAGCACCAGCCCTCCAACACCGATGACGAAGACACCGAGGACAAGAGCGCGGAGTAGCGTCTGGAACTGCTTTCCGGGAAGTTGTGCGCGAACCCAGTCGACAAAGGCAACCAGCTGGAGGAGGCCAAAGACACCAAGCGCGGACATGTGCTCGCTACTGCGGATAGGCAAGAAACCAACAAAGGGAATCTGCATACTCGCAAGCGTGCCGAGCGCATACCACGATGTGTAGCTAACGTACAACCTCGGGCTGTATCGTCCCATGCAGATCAAGACGAAAACATGCAGAGGCAGCAAGTTGGTAATGAAGACGTATCCACCCCACGCTGACACCATGTATCCGTAGAACAGGGCACTCATTGCACCCCAGAACATTGATCCGTTCTTAACCGCCTTGATCCACAGATAAAAGGTGAAGACCAGCAGGAAGATGGCAATGGCCTCGTTGTCGTAACTTCCCGCAACGGATCGCGAAATGTAACCAGGCGTGATGCCCATGAAGGCTGCGGCGAGCAGACCAGCGGAGGGAGATGGAACCATCTCGGAGGTCAGGAGATAGGTCGCGAGCGCGGTAAGGCCTGAGAAGGCGGGGGCGAGCAGGACACAGATGTTTCGAATGTCAACAGGAAGGCTGATGGCGCGGAGGAAATGGTAGATGACACCGCTGGTGACCATCAGTCCTGGATAGAGAGTACCACCGGTAACTCGCCCAAGAGGATGCCATGTTCCTGTATCCCAAGTTAGTCAATTGCGTCTCGAGGGTGCTGAGGGGGTGTGCGGCCGAGGTGCGCGTACGGTCGTCGAACCAGTCCCAGAAGCTGTAGAAGCCATTCTGTACTAGGTATTTCGTTGCTCGGAAGTTGAACCACGGATCGACTGTGAAGCACAATCAGTCAATTGCTTTGATACTGTTGCATTGCGGTACTGACACTCGTGGATGATGCTCTCAAAGCGGATCACGGAGAACAGACGGCTGCTTACTGCAGCGGCAGCGATGAGGACCAGGATAATCACTCGAAGCAAGCCTCGAGTGTTGCGGCCAGTCGCCTGCTTGAGGAGCTGCCCGTCATCTGCGGCGGCAGCCATGTTTGCAGGAGAAGATAAAGGAAGGTGAGGTTGTTGGTCGCAAGGCCGCGTCACGGAACTTCTCGAGAGCTATGGTTCATGAGCACACGTTTCCAACTCCACGCCTCGGCATTTGGTTTCGCCGACATGCTTTCACCCACCCCTGCAACGTCATCATCATCGCGGGTGAACAATACCACATGTATTTGGGGGGATTTTCTTTCACTTAATCACTGTGACCATATTATTATAAGTTTGATCAACTACTGGTTTAGACTATCTAAAGGGTATCTCGATCTTGGTCACCCATGCGCCATGAGCTACGAACCTCATCCAAAGAAGTCCATCGATTCCATCATAAAAGTCTCATCCTCTTGGAAATTGCAATCAGTGCACAGTTGATGGGGGCAATTGGTACACGCAACGTCAACGACACCACACGGACTTCCGCAAGAACACTGTGATAGTTAGCCAAAGCCGTACTTACCTAATGATGGGCGGCTTACACAGTAGCGGTTCATTATAAGCGTAGTTTGCTTGCGCTTTGGCAGCCGCGGGGCATATGTGTCGTCTTCAACTGACCGTTTCCTCTTACTCGCCTTCACAAAGCCCGGTGGAGGCGGTGGGGATGTCGTCGTCGCATGTGTTGGCATCGGCATCGGCATCGGCGTCGACATACCAGACATGTTGTGTCGACGAAGCTGTGGTCGCGGCTGCGGGGCGTCATCGTCGTCTCCAACAGCATCTACATCACCATCCTTCTCTCTCTCATCCTCATCATCGAAGCGTTCTCGTTTCAACTTCTCTTCAAGCAAGTCCTTTTTCAGTCGGTTCTCCTCAGCACATATCCAATCATCGATGCTTCTCTTCTCCTTCTCGAAGTGATACGCAATATGATCAAACCGCTCATCCCATGCTGCATTGCGCCGTTCTTTGAGCTGCTTTACAACCCCGCATAAACCACACCAGAAAGAGCCTTGACAGTTCTTTCCAATCTTGCTATTGTCTAAGCGCTTTTGGGCTTCCTCGCATGGGGTCTTGTGCTGCGTCTCTAAGTGGTTTCTGAATGCTCCTTCTCGGTGGAGGTGCACACCGCAAACTTCGCCTGTCGGAAGTGTCTCATCGCAACGAAAGGCTTCCTGTTGGAAGTGCTGGCTGTTCTCGTGGCGCTTCCAGTCCGACTTTGCGCCGAATCGTTTGTGGCACTTGGGATATGTGCAGCCATAAGGCCGATCGTGTCGTTTCATGTGTTTGCGCAGATCGCAATCACGAGCGACTGCGAATCCGCAATCGGGGTATGTGCATTTCTTATCGTTGTGAAGCGTGTCTTTGCTGTTGCGACGCTGTCCTGTATTGGAAGGTACTGGGCCTTTGTTCAGAAGCTTCGTTACCATGTCCATTAACACCGCATTCTTCTCCGGCCTCGATTGCTCCGCAGGTCTGTCTTCGCATTCGGCCTGGTCCTTCGCTTTCTGTATCATCTCCAACATGATGCTTTCGAGGTCCACAGGGCTCGGTGAGTGTGACTGTCGCTCAGACTTCTTTTTAAGCTCCTTTTGTTGCTCAGCCTTAGTCTGTGGGGCATTGGATAGTGCAGAACTGGACGAAGACTGTTGAAGTTTGAGGCTGTTTCTTCCAGGTACGCGAGAAGCGGTCTTTGTGGTAAGCAGAGGCTTCTGTATTGGCTGGGAAGACACTCCTGGTGCGTGATATCGAGAGCGTGTGGACTTTTGCATTTTCTGAATACCAGCGTTGTGAGGTGCGGAGGTGGGTCCAGCTCTAGACGACCGAGACAGTGATTGTATGTTTCCCACAGGGTTGGAACTTGGTCCAGACGAGAATGAATGTCTGGCACTCTGTGGCGAAAGGAAGTCCAGCACGGGCGGCATAGTTATGGTCGGACTGACTGAGAAGGGATTCTCCATCCCGGATACTGCGATATCAATGTCCATTGGTGTAACGCTGACCTCCTCCATCGGAGTGTCAGCGTTCTTTGGGTGGCATATTGATCTACCAATGTCAATTTAGCTGGTGCTTTGAGCGGGAAGCAAACGCATTTACCTTTCTATAACATCAAGGACGTTTTCATCTTTGTGCATTCTCTCTACATGCTGCTTAAAGTTGTCTAGACGCGGCCACGTCTTTTCCTTATTTCTGCAGTTCTCTACTGCACATCTGTAAGATTTCTTGTCGATACCCTTTCGATGGAGACTCCTTTGGTGCCTATCGAGGTCATTTGTTGTTGTAAAGCCCTCTATCCGCTTGCAGCCAGGTACCTCACACTTGAAGGGCTTGTCGTGTTTGAGCTTATGTTTCCTGCCATTATCAGTCAGCACATGGTCATCTCGCAATGATGTCGCCTACGCACTTAAACTCTGAGTGACACTTGAGTATCTCTGAACATTGAGGGCAACGATACGCTTTCTTTGACTTGCCACTACGACTGCTGACGAGTGATAGCTGATCCGAAGGCATCCGTGACATTGTAGGAGCTTCGCTAGTGACACACTCGACGTTCATGCCGTCCATATTGGACAGAAAGCTCGCTGGTAGCTCTTGATTGACACAATCGGGGTCATTGCTGATAACGGATCGAGTGTTGTGCGAGAAGTACCCTTCATCGGACGGTGAAGCCTGACTGCCAATGTCAGACTTCGGGCCATATGAGAACCGGAAGTTCGTGTTCACTTGACTTGGCGGGCCGTGAGATCCACTGGACTGTGGATTCCTGAGGTTGAATGGACTCCATGCTGTTTCGGGCATTCGGCTCGCATTTGCATCGTAATAATGAGGAACATAGTTTGGATCGAGGAAAGATGAGTCCTTGGACAGATCGAATCCGATGCCACCGTCTACGGGCGAAAAGCCCTGAGAATAAATCATGTGATTGGAGTCTCTTAGCTGCTGTGTATTTCTTGCAGTGTTTGCAGACCCCGATGAACTGGGCCTCCGAATGCGTACGTCCTGTGCACTCCGTGGCCGTTGAGAGGGCTGCCATGGCTCGGCCGGCACAGTATCGATATGTAAGTCAGGTATTCGTCCATTGTACTGATATCTGGTCGGGGGAAGATTGCTATAGGGTTGTGAATAGCTCCCATTTAGGTTTTGGTGAGACATGTTCGCTATCATGGGTCAGCATCTTTCGGGCTGCCCAAGGCATCAACATGTTATCCACACTCTAATCGACCACAACTGGAACACGAAAGAAGGCACCCGAGTGGCACGAGAAAATTCCCATCAAGCATCAAAAAAAAAGGTATAAGCTGCCTTCCGAAAGGCAACAGCAATACATACCTCGGACTCAACTTTCAGCCTGCTGCAGGATAATAGCCTGACGCCTGTCCCAAGGAACGCAGTACGCAAACCGTTTCAAAGAAAAGGGTGCGCAGGTATGCATTAGTAGATCTCAGCTGCAGCACACCGCCCCAATCTGCTAAGAGTGACAAGCCGGATAGGTGCGTGTAACAGATATGTATGTGAGGTCCTCCGTTTCGTGTCCCTGCGCACGGGCATGCGCTGCCTGGCCGGTGTGAGGATGAGGGAAGGCTCCACACCAAGACGTCGTCACTTCATTGCATGCGCATGCTCTGGACGACGTGCTTCGGACTCTTTCGATTCGAGGTGAGCAAAATAGGGGTCAGTGGTATGTCGTCATGTCGCTTTTGATACACTATGGTTATCGCAGTTCGATGGCCATGATCGCGATGGCTAGGGCCACTGCGCATGTGGGCGGCCTCCCAGTCCTCTCACCGGAGGGGTACCAAGAAGGCAAACGTTGCCCTGTTTGCCCTCCTTCATGATTCTGCAAGCTCATTCGTGCTGCCGATACACCTAGCGAGCTGTTCGTCGAATTGCAGATGGAGGACCTCATGTTGCGGGTGGCTGTGCAGAAAAGGTCCTCCATGTGTGTCGGGGATGCAGGAAGCCAATCACCGCTCAGCACCGGATTGCTCCCCGTCGGCGCGATCGATTTAGCACGCCATGCTGATGTGTGTGACTGGGCGCGGGGGTCCGTGTTTTGGAAATAGACGCAAAGATGCCTGAGGCAGGACTTGTTGCTGTTTGTCGCCGAAGAGAAACGTACCGTAATAGAGTCGCTCCGGACTCAATAGTCGAGATTCAGAGAGTGGGTCACAGCTTCGGTTGAGAGCTGTGCTCCATAAAACACATCACTTCACAAAGAGTGGAAGGTACAAGGAGCATGGTATTGTGCAAATGATGCGCCGATGTCTATCATATCATGCATGCCTATTGCACCATGAAATGCTGATAATGTAGCCGACCCAATCTGTAAGCGACAGTAGGTGTCTTAACACGTCTAAACCAATTCGCCTCATAACCGTAAACTCATCTTCCGGTGCGCAAGAGTGGATATCGTAGAAACAAAGGAAAACAAAACAGACATTACGACGCGCTGCGTATCGTGGGCGTTCGACGGAAACTTCCCTCCCTCGCTTGTCGCCCCCTACTGCTGATGCTGGTATTGATAATTGTGTTGCGCGGTCAAGTACGACATGGCGGGGTAGGTGCTGCCCTGCTGATAATGCATGGTGTTGTTGGTGTCAAACCCCATGTTAGACATCTCAGTCGTCAAGCCCTGTGGCTCTTGTGTGTAGTAGGAAGGAAAAGGTGTAATCGTGGTGTCGACCGGAGAGTCTGTGTACATCGACTGCTGTTGTTGGACGGTACTAACAGGATTCATGCCATATTGCTGTACTCCGCTTTGCATGTTTCCATTATGATATGGCTGATTTGGAATTTGGAGTCCGTTCGCATAGCCATTGAGTGGCTTCCGAGGAACCTGTAGGCCTGGATAGGTCTGATTTGTGTGGTACGCAGCATTGCTTGCCGCATAGTTAGCATAACTGCTAGTTTGAGTCGATGGTGGTGCCATTTGTGGTGGCGGGTACGTTTGCATTCCCGTGGATCCTGTTTGAGATTTCGATTCTTGAGGGTAGAGACTCTGGGGGTCGATACCAGGCGCATACGTTGCATTAGGGTTGTACCTCGATGGGTTGTCCACTGGCGAGCGGCTTGGAGTGATGGATAACTTGCGGCTCTCGGGCAACTCAACCACTGGGCTGATGATGCTGTCTGCATTGAGCTGCTTCTGATCCACAAGGGTGAGAATGGGCATGCTGATCTGCTCCATGTGTTTTGCCAAGTGAACGGTCAGTTTCTTCCAGCTGTTGCAGATGTTACCACAGAACCGACAAGGCTCATCCTTCGGCTGTTTAGTGGTGTCACGACGACATCGTTCAACAATGGCCCAGATATCATCTGAATCACGTTAGCGATCTGCAAAGTAACTAACATCATCCATCTCACCTTGATCGCCAGTAGTTGGTGTATCTTTGTTAGCGGCTCGGGTACGTTGTCGTGGCTCAGCTATCTTATGCTCACGAACAAGATGTTGCACAAAGTTGTCCTTGCGGTAGCATGTGTGGTTGCAATCAGCGATCTGGCATGTCCAATTCTCTAGCTGGCGATGTCGCTCGTTCTCGTGTCGAACCCAGTCTGCCTTACGCTTGAATGACTTGGGTTCACCGCAATTGGGAAAGGTGCATGTAAAAGGTTGCACGTCTTCATGTACATGCTTGGTCCAGTCGGATGGCTTGTAGAACTTCTTGACCTTGAAGCACAGGGGGCATTCGAACTCAGCTGGTAAACGTTTGACAGGAGGAAGTGGTACACCAGAAGGGAATGCAGCAGGAGCGACATTTCCTTCCATAGGAGGCTCACCATCATCGTCAGAAGAACCAGGCAAGGTAACCTGAAAACCGATGAAGGGGGTATCGGCATCCTTAGCCCCTGCTTTCGGAGGAAGCTGCTTTGCTTCGCCACCAAGATCGGTGCAAAACCCTCTTGACGCACAGTTCTTGTGCTGCACGGCGTTGAGATGCTTGACCTTGAATTCTAATAGCCTTTTGTATCTGCGCATCTGTTCTTGGGTGATGCGCTCAACCATAAAGTCAGCTAGACGAGGGTTGAGTTGTCTAGCATGAGCCCTGAAGCCGTCGTACGTCGGAATAATAGGATCCATGCGGACCGTGAGATCCATACTGACGGGGTCTTGATCGTCGTCGTCGTCATCTCCCGCTGGGCTTGGCTGTGCAGATGGCTTCGTCGCCTCTGTATCTGCAAGCGGTGAGGCTAGCATGGGCATAGGTGGGCCTCCATGCTGTGTCATCAGCTCAGCCAGTCCTGGCGACCGACCGATATCACTCCTACTCCGGCTGCGTTTGATAACGTTCCTGGGACCTTTGTACCATGGTCCAGCAGCCGCAGATAAACCCATAGAACTACGCGGCTCTGCTTCTTTGCTGTGATTGCTCAGGTTCGTATCAACTCGAGGCGACTTCGGACGACCCCAGCTACCTATGCGCTTTGGCTTCTCGATGATCGGTTCTTTGGACTTGTCCGAGGCCGTGTCGGACTGTTGTACAGGTATGCTACCTTTACGTTTAAGTAGCAGATTGCTTGGTGTACGCTTGGGCAGGATATTCTCTAAGAAACTGGGGCGACGTTGTCGCTCTTTGCTCTTCCTCGGCTCAGGTTCAATGACCTTGATGACACCTGGAGCTGCACGGATACTACCAATGTCAGATTCGCTGAGACGCCGTGAACCAACCGTAGCTGCAAGTGAAGCTTGTTCGACGTCCTTCGATCGCACCAAGAAGCGCATCATTGCAGCATTCGATGTGGGCGGCTGGTATCGAGCCGAAGTGTTTGGAGGATGGGGTTGCGAGGGTCCATCTACCCATGGTTTTATAACAGCACCATCCTTTGATATAGATTCTTGCGTGAGGGGAAAGTACGAATTCTCGACGTGGCTCGCATTGACGTCGATCGCAGCGGGTGGAGATTCGGGTTCTGCCGATTCATCGTCATCGTAGTCGTAGTCGCCGTAATCGCTTCGTTCGTCAATATACACGCCAGGCCCAGGTATACCCGAGTCGTCTATACGATCGAAGTCGGTACGAACACCCAGTCCGAAGCTATTTGGGAGGGCCCGCCGTTGAACGTCGTTGTGACTCTTTGCTCGACGTCTACCCGTGATTGGCTTGAGCAGATTGTTTGATGGTCCCACATCGCCTGCTTCGCTGCCAACTTCACTCTTTGTGAGCCACTCTTGTACTTCCAGCTTCTTCTCGTTCTTCGATCGTTGTTCTGCAATCTCCTCTATGCTGGGAATCCACGCGTCGCCCATCCGACGTCGATCGTCGGGATTAATGCCGCTCTGCCCAGAATCCCCTGTTAGCAACCATGAACCGTCATCATTGCGTTCAGGTCCGCGGACGACTGGTCGCACGTGTACGTGCTCCTGCGAGTCCCCTTCCTCATCAGAGGTTTCGTTATGGGCGTAAGGTGATAAGTGGTTGCCAGAACGGCGGCTGCTAAAGCTCTGCCTGCTGGCAGGCATGCTGTTGTCGGAACGTGAAGGTGAGTCTTCTCTACTGTAATTCTCTACACGCACAATGGGGCTCGTCAGATGTCGTGTGAGAGGCCGAGGGTTTGCCATTGATAGATCTCCGGAACTGTTTGTCAGGGCTGGGCTATGTGTTTGCTTGATTGGAGTTGCTTGAGGTAGATGAGTGCCGTGATTTGGTGGCGTCGACATATTCCCATTGTACTGCATGGAGGGGAACGCTGAGCTCTCATCACCAAGTGCTGGACTAGAATTGTTTGTCGCACTTGGGGACAGCAATTGATGGTGTGGGTTTAGTGAAGTATTACTGAGGGGAACGCTCGGCTGGGCGTTGTATGTATTGAGAGACCCTGAGGTCAGGGCTGACATGTCGACATGCTCCTGGAACGCCGGAAAATTGCTGGTTGAACCGTTCTCAGCAAACGTTAGGCCGGAGAATTCGTCAAGAACGTGTCCGTTAAAGTTCGGGGTAGCGTAGGTGCTTGGATCGTGATAATTTGGATCGCTCATATAGCCAGCTTCTGGACTGATGTGATCGATCGAATGCGAGGGTGAGATATTCTGGCCGTTTCCGTAGTAGGATCCTGGAGAGAAACCGTAGTTTTGAGATTGGCTGTAGACATTCGGTGGGGGATATGACATATCCGGATTTAAGGAAGAGTCGAGAGAGGATCCAACGTTTGGAGTGAAGATGGAGTCTTGCCCAGGGGTGCTGGACGAGGGATGCGATACCATGGACCCATCGTAAACCATGGATGCCGGTTCTGCAGAGTACGTAAATGTGCCTTGCGCATCTGGCATTAGGAAATTGCCGGTAGAAGGCGCAAGTTGATAACCGGTAGCCTGCACATCGTGAGGGTGGCGCGGCTGACGCCGAGGGTCCTGGTAGGGCTGTGTTTGCGTATCAACTGCTTGCATGGTTGTTCCGATTATACCGAACGGCCTTGTGGCTGAGTCGACAGTAGATCAGATCGCACCGATTGATAGATGGTTGCGACAAGCAGCGAGTGTGGAATGGTAACGTGACTGTGACCCACACTGCTTAGGGCGGCATAGTGCTGCCTGAAGGTTACTGATGTTGTTTATGCGAAAGTCAGAAGGCCAAAGGGAGGGGCAAAAGTATCGCAGCGCGTCGACACACGCAGCAAGATTGGCGGAGAGACGAAACGAAAGAGAAATATCGCGGTGCGGCTGAAAGCGAAAGACGACAGGCCGCTGTAGCTTGAAGTTGGATAGCGATCTGCCTCGCACAAGACGGAAGTTTGGAGCCGTTGAGGCTAGAGGCAATGCCGGCCCTCTACGATGTTGACAGCTTCAGAGTGGGTCGCGAGCGAAATCGGGTGACGGCGTGCGCGAGCAACAGAAAAACAGCGTGAAGTTCTCGGTTGGTTGGTAGAAACAGCGTGGAATTCAATGTCGACGGTGGAGCCAGCCGCAGCAAAGAGCGAAAGTCGAGGCACCGGTCAAGGCTGATTTCCCCCAAGATCTCCAGAATGGTAAGGCCGGGGTAGAGGGATGCACGCCAAGCAGATGCTGTTCACGTTTTCGAAACAATGTGGGCGCAAGCTGCGCAGATGTCCAGGAGGTTGTGAGAAAGAGCAGATCGACAGAAAACAAGCGCGACGGCGCGATGGCAGCTGTGAGCTTGACTGGCGTCTCGAGGCAGATTTGCAGATGCGTGACACGTTCTTGGCAGGCTTGATACAAACGGCACAGCCTCAGTTGCTATACAGAAGCGGGAGCAGGGGGCTGAACACGGGGCGAGCGGGTGGCTATGCTTCGAGGGCATATCCTCATGGCGAACTCGATCTGCTGTTTATGATGCTTGTAGTAACTCCTGCCATCTAATCCGATCGAGGCTGTCATGTCAGAACGCGCTCAACGCTCGAAACACGTACCCAGCCTTTGTTGCGCACCCGCGTAGGCTGGCGCTTAGCAGTTTAGCAGCCGAATGCTGATGCTATATAAAGATAGGCCAAGCCTGCAATTGCTCTTCATCTGTCATGCGTGCCAGTTAAACAGCAGCATGCTAGTAATCGGGCCCTCGTCATGGAAGTCACAGGCCGCCTTATGCAGCTGTTCTTTTCTGCCCATTTATGATGTGACGACATAGCATGGAATGCCTTGCATGATCAGCCACGTCTAGGGATGAAGCTTTTCTAGCCACGTCGCAAGCGGATAAGGTAGTGGCTGGCCCCAGTTTCATAGAGCAAAGCCGGATAGTCTCCCGGACGGTTGTGGGGCTCGCGGAAATATGGCGAAGGAGCACATCGACCTGCTGTCTTCAGCGCACACTACCTTAACCTAGTCTAGATTTGAGGATATATGCTGTCACATCGCCGCGGGCGAGTACTATGACGGAAATAGCAGGATCGCTTCGCCTCGGTGAGATATAAGGTGCAATGTTGCGCCCATAGGTTGTGATATATAGCTTCGGGTGCTGCATACCGTGATGTACGCTGTAGCCACAAGCGACACGGTAATGGTCTGATTGTACTGGCCGTGAAACGTGCTGCTGGTGTTGGATATGCAAGGCCTCGCCTAACAAACTCACCATCAATGGGATTTATCGAAATGCGGTCAAATGGAGCACCAAGAGTGCGATGCGATGTAGCCGAGGTGGGAGACTCGAACCAAGATGTTGGTATCACGGCTTCATCAACTACTACCAGAGTATGCAAGGTACCCGTGATGAAGGGTCTTGTGCAGGTGTTGTGCCGATCCAGGGCTGGCGATCGCAAAAGTTGACGTCACTGCAGGTCTCCTACACCCGTTCAATACCATCGTGAGGTTGGGCATACTGTCGCAGGGTATATGTACCACGCCTGGTGGGTGCATACATGTCCAGCTCAGATGCTCGTGGTGGAAGCGCTGGGCCTGGGGTGGTAGCAAGGCACTCTGAAACCAAGGGGACAACGTCCCGCGAGCCTTGGGAATTTTTCCGAAGCAAGTCCACGAGCTCTGGACGCGTTGTTGAGTTGGATATAGAGCGTGTCTGATTGATGAGGCTCTCGATGAGGCTAACCATTTCCATACCACGATCTAGCCGTGCGGGCAATCGTAACCGGTGCGCGTCTTGGAACGGCAGTGACCCTTCGGTGGAGCGGAGACTAACAACAGCTAAGCATCCACTGTTTCTGCAGTACCGCTGTTCGCGAAAATGGAACGAGAAGTGCTTCAAAGTGCTTCTCTCCCTCTTTCTTTTCCACTTGCATCTTGCGATTTACCTCCCCATTGTCGCTTCCTACCTTCCCCGCTTCAGCGTCTGCGAACTTCTGCGCGTCACTGGTCGCATTCGCATGTGACAGCATCACCAGACTGATACAGCACCACTCAAGCAGCACAGACAAGACTGCAGACCATTGGCGAGTTGCACAATACTCTGTTGCAACCTTCTACAAAGCATAGGCTCTTGTAAAGAGACAAAAGCACCAGAAAAGCACAAAAGCCTTCGAAACATCCTAGGCCTATCGATTACGGCGTCTTCCCTAGTCGACTTTACGAATCTGCCAAAAACCAGTACACTCGTCGTATTCTTAAGTGAATACCGACACCGCTCTCAGTCTTCCACACCATACTCCTAGATACCTTCCCCGCACTGCAGCCATGCCTGGACTCAACCAAGTCATCCCACGGCCCGATTCGAGGGAGCTCCTCCCACCGCTACTCGCTTGCCTCTCAACAGCGAATGCTTCTAAAGAGGTTCCCCCAGGGCTTCTGCCCCTCCTGTCGCCTATTCTTCGCCAACGTGTACAACTCTTGTCATCGAACGAGTGGTTGTCGCTGTTGTGCTGGGACCGAGAAGTCGCCTCACGACTGCCGCAGATTGTCGAAAAGATAAACGTCGAGCCCCATCCGGCCTCTGGAGAGATCGAAGTGGAGGAACCAGATCAAATACTATACCGGCGATCAGACCCTGAGACGCTACACTCGAAATTGGTGCTTGGCGAATATGGAATCATACCAACGTACCTCTGGTGCACCGGCGGCGAAGGTGGAAGCCGCTGGCTGTTAGCCGAGCTGAGAGGAACAGACGACGCTGAAGATGGCACGGAATGGTTCGAGAACATGCCCGCTGCCGACGAGGCTGGCTTCAGGCGAAAGTCTGTCCCAGTCAAGAGCAACGGCGTCACAGTCCAGACAGCAGTCGCTCAGGCTGAACCTGCTGCAGAGGAGGCAGTAGAAGAAGAGGACGACGGCTCATACTGGGCTGCATATGATCAGACGCCCGGACGAACACCACAGCCCAGGCGCTCTCCAGCCCCGATTACCAGCAGCCGAACGCAAATTGGACCAACACAGTCAGAGCTCGAATACTTTGAACGCTATGCTTCTGAAGTGCAGCCAGCTCTTGACGCGCACGACCCGGATGAAGAGAACCCCGCAGCTGGCGAGTCGACTCTCAATGGCAACGCTCTCGACTATACCCGCGAGCCGCAGATGGAACCCCTCGACACGACGAATCTGGGACCGAATGGCTACGACTCGTCCATGCCGCCAGCATATACGAATAGTATTATGAATGGTAGTGGCGTTCACGGTAATGATAGCGCGGTACATCTTGAGCCCATCGAGCAGGACCCCAGCGCCGCTGCGAATGCAATGAACCACCCACGACCCTCGTCGTCGGCGTCGACCAATTCAATTGAGAGGCTGGAGCGAAAGGCCGAGCACTACAGTCAAGCGGAGCTTGCGATCAAACAGCACATCAGCACTGACATCAAGAGCCTATTCCGATTAGCGAGGGCATCGGGCATAGACAGGGAAGAGTTTGAGAGGATTATTCAGAGAGAATTGGAGGTATTGCCCATGCTTGAGCAGGAGATGTCTTAAATTGGATCATGTAGCAGGACCAGATTGGATATGAGGATGATGATCCAGAGGTCATTTCTTCAGCATTTGTTGGCGTTTAGTACAACCTAGCCATCGCATAGTATTCCTAAATAGTGGAAACAGCAATCGTATCAAGTAAAGATCTTTGGTGTCCCCCCCTCACTAAACCATTGTGATGCTTTTGCTATCCCGCGAGTGCAATATGGCCAATGTCAAGCCGTAGACACCTGAACGCCTCGGTCTGGATCTCATGCTGACCTTGTATCCCACAAGTGTATGACGCTCTATCTCCTCCTCTGCGCATCCCCACTCGCAAACTTGGCACCGCTCGCCTTGAGCTGTTGCAGGATATCCACGGCATTGGAGCTGTTCAGGTTCATGGTCTGGTCCATGCCCGCACTTCCCCGACCAATTTCCTCAACCACGTTATTAGGGTCCGCAGCACCAACAACAGGCACTTCAGAAGCGAGCCATTGCTGGAAGGGCTTTGCGACAAAGTAGCCATCCGAGGTGAACCACCGGGTCATGGGCGCGCGGATGTGGATCGTTTGCTTGGGATTGGAGTTGTAGGGGGCGGGTGTAAAGACAACGTCGCATTCGTAGATGGGGATGTGCTTCTTTGTCGACGAGGATATCCTCACCTTGGTGTTGTCAGAATGGTCCACACGGGAACATGTATGCGAATGGAGCCTGTAGACGTACCTTCCCTGTCTTGCCCTCCCCCTCATATACAACTCCCCTCTCCACGAACCATAGCCAATAACTGAAGGCTCCGTTTAACAGGAAATATGCGACTACGGCGGGTAGGGTATAGGGCTTGCTGGCTTCCCAGCCAAATTTCCAGTCGTAGTAGAAAAGGGCGCCGGCGATGGTGACGGCTGTGTAGCCGAGGACTAACCGCACATCGGTCTGCGTGTGGATTTGCTTGAATTTGAGGCTGTTGAGGTAGTTGGGGAGCGCGTCATCGGTCGTGTTCTTGAGGTCTGAGGGTGCATGTTAGATCTAAGTCCTACAGGCGCGCCGCTGGATGGGTAGTAGCGACGGGTATGCAACACATACCGGCAAGGGAGTGGACTGCGATCTTCTGGGTTGCAGACATGTTGAGGTTGTGATTGTGCCTTGGCTAGAGTTGTCGCGCAGTTGGTGATGTAGTTTCGTGGATGGGACACCTTTCCATAAGCGCAAAGCGCGGACCCTGGTTGCAACATCCCGCCGGAGCCTCAGCGGCGAGCTATCGTCGTCAAGCAACCAACAACCACCGACCTCCACCCTTCCACTCCCTCGTCCGCATCAATGTCTACTACCGGCACCATGGGACAGCCTGTAGTCCAGACGATCCATCGGGACCCCGCGCTGTTGTAGGTCTGGTGTTTGCCGTGGACGAGACAAGCATGGCTGATAATTCTACAGTTGGTGGATTCTACTCCCCATTACAGTCGTCATGGTACATGCCATCCAAGTCCTTTAGGCACCAAAAGAAGAATCTAACTAGCTTCTAGGTCTTGACAGGCATCCTCCGCCACTACGCAATGACACTGCTCCAGTCCACGCCCAAGAAACACGACCTGGCCAAGATCCGACAGCAGCGCTCCCTCGTACGCGGCGTCAACCTACGCACCAACGCCCAGGTTCTCTCGCCGCCCTCCTTCGCTGCTCGCAAAGCCTACATGGTGCAGGCGTACCACGAGGGAAAGTTCCTGGCTGAGCCTGAGCTGAGAGGGAAACCGAGACCAAACCCCATGAGTGATCCGGCGGCCATGGAGGGTATGATGGGCATGATGAAGGGCCAGATGACTATGATGATCCCACAGACGCTGATTATGGGGTGGATCAATGCCTTCTTCTCGGGATTTGTTATCAGTAAGTCCATCTTCTTCGCGCTTGTCCTGGTGGGCGAAGCGAAAACGGCTCGCAATTGTTTCCCAAAGAGACCGAGAATGCAAGACTAGGTGTCCTTGGGAACTGAGCGTCCATGGACATCCCAGTATTTGGGCGTCGCATCTCCAGACATTGCGTGACCTTTCGCTTTGCCTGGCTTTGTAGTGGAGCAGCTCCTTCACGTATGCGCTACCTGCTAGGGCGAAGCGAGCGGCTGATGTGTTGTCTGCATCGGAATCATCCTCGCGACTCGTCGGCACGCGTTGTCGGGATACTCTGAGATTCGGCTGCTCCCGAGCCGTAAAAGCAAAACTTAGCAGTGGCTAATTTATGTGTGCAGTGAAACTGCCCTTCCCATTGACGCCACAGTTCAAGTCAATGCTGCAATCTGGAGTGGGAACTCGTGACCTGGACGTCAGATGGGTGTCCAGCTTGTCTTGGTATTTCCTGACGTTGTTCGGACTTCAGCCCGTCTACAATTTCATCTTGGGGAGCAACAATGGTACGTTGATAACATCATCTTCTTAATCGAATACGACTGACAATGTTATTTTAAGCTGCCAACCAAGTTACCCAACAGATGGCCATGGCCAACGGAGGCGGGGGTGGCATGATGGGTCCTGAGCAGGATCCGGATAAGCTGTTTCTCAGTGAAGCCGAGAATCTGGAGGTGCTGGAGCATCGATGGATATTGGAGGGCATCGAAGACCGCCTCGTTGCCAAACTCGGAGCGTAATGTCGGCACAGGGCATCAGTTGCTGGCCATAGCACCGCCATGGCGTACATACACATCTAGAAAAGGCCCAAAAAGCTATCATCCCGCGTTTCCATTGCGCAAAGACCCCAGATACAGGCCACCGGCGCGAGATAGCTAATTTCTATGACTGTCATCATGTCCCAGTCGTACGGTTCTCGTGGCAGTGGTAGCTGTGGCTTCAAGCCATCTGCGGGGACTTCAAGCCAAGCAGACAAAGATAGCGCGTTTTCTGCGCGTCGCTATTTCTAGACCTCGAACATCTTTCCACCCCTGTGCAGAGCCGCCGGATTGTGTTCTGACAGTTGACAGCAAATATTCTGTGAAGATAGTCATGTCCATCTTACCCACGCGCCGACGCAGGGGTAGCGCAATGTCATCTGAGTGGGCTGTTCTCGACTTGAGACGGCGCACAAGCTCCGAGTCCTCCAAGTTCACTGTTCCCCGCCCGCCACTCGTCAGTCTCCATCTCCAAACACACGGGACGCACCGCCCCCAAATGCGCCCCGAGAGCCCAAGACATTCGAAGCTCTTACCGACCAGCGTCCCTTGCAAGTTTAGTCTGGAGCCTTAGCCGTGAGGCGACGATGGAGGGGAGGGTGCAGACAGCCGTCGAAACAGCCCAGGCGTGTCTCTGCTATCCTTTCTACCATTCATGAGATGATAGCATCGTCACTAGTGCTCTGCCACTGCCTCCCAGCAATGTACCACAACTGCACTGGCAAAGCCATGCTTCACCCTATCTTGATGCCTGGATCGAGTCTCGCTGAACCAAATGCGCCCCAGCCGGCGAGCCACAATGCAACGACTCCCAATGAAAGTCTATTCCTCCACACTCTGACCGACGACGGCTTTTCGTCTTGATCGGGAACTGGGCTTCTCATCAGCGTTGTTTTTGCGCGGCAGCTTTCGGAACCATCACGTCCCTGACGCAGGTGCGGTAGCACGGCAGCGACTAACGACAGACTTTTACGTGCGGCCTCCGAGTAGAGACGACAATTCTTGACAGTGAGTACTTTGGTGCTTGGAATCTTGCGTCCGCCATTCAATCTCCTTGCTTGTTTCGGCCCCCAACGGTCAAACTGGTGGGCCAGCGATTAACATTCGTAACGTTCACATGGCCCCAGCAACTTCAAGCGAATGTACATTCCGCGGACGCAGCTCAGGCACAAATGTAGACTTGGCTGTATCGCGATACGGTAGCGATCCGCTCACCACTAGCGAGCGTGATTGCTTTTGATTAGAGGGCTGCTCCTGGGGCTGACCCCATCCGCTTTGGTGGTAGGTGCCGATTGTCCACGTCAATTCCAGTGGTGGCTGGACAAATGTGCACAGCTGTCCCCACCGGTGAACCTTGGGAACAGGGGACTACATTGCCAAGGGACAAGGTATTCTCATTGGTCGCTGACGATGAGGCTCTGCGGACTATTCACCATAAAACAGTAGACAGTATGACAATCGGGGGGATGGTCAGACGGCACTAAAGGTTACAGCATTGCAACCTAGCCTTAGGTTTCCTAATCTACTGCCTTTACGCACCATACTTCTTGACATACGCTCCGCCTCTTTTGCCTTATTTTCTCACTCTAATCGCGGTACTTGAACCACTTCTATCCACCATTGCTGCCATAGCAGGACACTTCCATCGCGACTTGTCGTGGGAGTTTCTCGCCAGTCAAGTAAGATGGCACAAACTAAAACTTTCTGAATCTCTCTAAACTTTGCCAGCACTTCCGTTTTCCATCCTCGTTGTCTTTCGGACGCTACGCATCGCATAGTTTCTACCGTTACTTCCGCTACCCTGTGTAACGATCCAATATCAGCAATGGACGGTCACCAATTCAGAGATTTGCCGCAGATAGAAGCTATGGACGATGCTCGTTATCCTATGTGGGCGATAGAGCATATGAACTATATACAGCCATGCAAAGAGCGTATAGTGCATTTCTGTACTGCAGACGACTCCTATCTGGATGACTACGACAATGGCGTTGTCAGCATGCAACCTATGCAGCGGTTCATGATTGATCAGAACCCACTTACGCCAGGCATGCTTTACGCAAAGATACCATTTCTAGACAGCCAATACGAGAGACCCTACGAGCAGCATTGGCCTTCGGCAGACTTCTTTCGTCATGCGTCACCGGATCGTTCTTCTTCTGGAAATACTAGCCAAAACACCCAAGACGAGCTCCGGTCACCACACATGCGCCATAGCATCCCGTATGGAAGCCCGATGGAATACTCGCAGCTATCGTTGTCATACCCACAAGCCGAGTATCTTCAGGGAGGTGTATACCCATGCGAGTCTCATGTCGTGGAGCGCGGCAATATCAGCCTTCGTGAGCTTGAGTATGACCCTGCAGTGCCTGAGGCAGTGGCCGAAGATGTTGAGGACGTTACTATGAAACAAGAGACTACCTGCGACCACCATCATACTGCCGTCAAGGAAGAGGCTGCTCCGGATTACAGGACGTACGCAGACTCGGGTATCGGCCACTCGGTGCGGGATGCACAATCAGTGGAGCCCGTTGACTTTCCTGAAGAGCCCGCCTCTGACTCTGACTACAGTCCGTCTTCCAGCCGCAAACGTAGACGGTCTACCACATCGAACAGTAGCTCAAGTAGAACACTGAAGCGACGCAAACCCATCCGCAAAGACTCTGTTGTCCCAAGCCCTACAGAATCTGTCAAGTTGGAGAGGAAACCTCGTCGAGCCTCTAAGACTTCGAAGGCTAGCACTGAATCAAGCATACAGGCTGAAGACCGCCGCGCATTCCCTTGTCCGCTCGCTGCGTATGGCTGTACGTCTAATTTCTCCTCAAAGAACGAGTGGAAGAGGCACGTCAGCACCCAACACATCAAGCTCGGCTACTGGCGTTGCGATCTATGCCCGCCATCGACTGATTCCAACGACGCGCACACTTTATACTACAACGACTTCAACCGTAAAGACCTTTTCACACAACATCTCCGCCGTATGCACGCTGCTCCGAAAGACAAATCCAGTCGTACTCAGAAAGACTACCCTGTCTCCGAAGAGAATCTTCCCAAACACCAGGCTCGCTGTAACTTACAATTACGAGATCCACCGCAGCACTCGACTTGCCTATTCTGCGAGCGAATATTCGTTGGTGCTACATCTTGGGATGAGCGCATGGAGCACGTTGGGCGTCATCTTGAGAAGGACGGAAGCCGCTTAGAAATGCTCGACCCGGCTACATGGAATGTGGACGAGAAACTAGAGCGATATCTTATCGATGAAGGTCTCATCGTGAGAGATGGCGCAGCATGGAAGATTGGTGATGGCAAGCCACGCAAAAGCGTACTATCAGATAGCGACGCAGACTCCGAAGAGGACTAAGCAACTGTGAACTGTGTATAAAGAGTTTGGGATACATAGACGGAGAGGCCTACATTTCGGACTCCAAGATTCATGACATTTACGACTGTCACTATAGCTTTATACCCGTTTAGGCGTTTGGGGATATTTTATGCAGATAGCGACGTCTTACGGCCGATCACGTTTTCGTAGTAGGATACCAAAAGCGCGGTCGTTATACATATGTTAAACTGCATTCCTTCTCACTACACCAACGTCTTGTCATCGTGAAACCATATAGCAGCCTTCCGGTGCATCTCCGTCCACTTCCCATCTCACGCCCCAAAGCCCGCTACAACGTCCAAATAGCCCCCATTCACGACTTCTCTCCCCTTCCCTTTCCACACGGCCACAGCCTCACACTAGCTAAGCATATTTAGACTGCATGGTACACCCAAACCAACGGTCCCGGCCCCCTCTTCCCGAGACCAAATCTATAACATAGCCATAGGCAGAAACGACGTTGCCAACGTTTACTTGATCGGGAATGAAGCGCAAAGTGCTTCGGTGAATATGGCGTGTTCACCGGACTGTGCATATGACATGCAGTGAGAACCTTGTTTTCTCACGTGGGGGTGGATGACTGGTGGGTTGGACCAGAGAGCAGGAAGATGGAAAGATGAGCAGGGAAACGATCGGTAAGCCTGGGCAGTGAAGGAGGCTTCGGGATTGTACAGTAGGATAGCAATTTTACATCGTAAGTAACGATGAACGTCATCGGCCTCGATGCCTGTTTCGGTCATCATTTGGGAACGTGGTGGTGGGCTAATGCGAGCGTGGTTCGAGACGCTGCACTTTGCATTAGTGTTACATCCATCCGTTTCGCAATAGGACATCTCAAGACCATCGAGTCGTAACCTCCAAAGAAAGAAACAAGGCAAAAGCAGGCAAAAGACTTCGACGTGTCAACCTTAATTTCTGCCTTTTCTTCAATCTGCTGCCTGAGGCAGCACAAAGTGAGGCTGAGACATGTACGTTCCCCTCTAGACCTACATGCAGATACGAGGTTTGTCGAGGTCCTTCATGCTGCGCCCCCGCTTCTCTTCTCGAAGCACTACGCTCGCTTACCGAGAACCGGCTATCGGGCTCATCTGACATCCTATGACGAATGCATCTAAAGATGAAGGATCAGAGATGCAGACATGTCTTGTAGATCCAAGATTTACGTTGCGCTCGGTTGTGGAATGGTCCGGTATCCGGTGTGGATAGGGCAACTATCTGCCTTCCAATTACGGGTTTCTGCGCGCGTTTCGTTCACTAATCCGATTGCTCTGACCCAGAGCTCTTGGTGCGCTATCGCACTAATGCTTTGTCTCAATGATAAGTGCGTTCGATTGTCTCGCCTTTAGGACGGAAGGATGCTCTTAGATAGCGCCCATGGGCCGATTTCGATGCATATTCGCTGGGATGATCCACGTGCGAGAATCCCAGATCCAAGACTTGGGCTCGGGGTGCGCGATGGTGAATCCTTCGAAGGTGATCCTGTGAAAGTTGGGGAGATCAGAATCAGATAAGATTTGGGGGGAAGAGACGGGGGCGACTGAGGCTCTGTAGAGATGAGTCAAGCGTATTAGGACTAGTGTCCCTGAAATGATGTCACGAGAGGAGAGGAAAGGCCAACGAGCTTGCTTTCACTGTGCTTCTCAGTCCATTCCCGAGGTCTGATTTACGCTTCTTGCGTCTTTGCGTTTGTGGTGCTCTTTCGTGGTCGCTCGAGAATCGGCAAGCCTTCTTCGCGCCTTCACGCGGGCGATACGATACGTATCTAGTTTACGATGCGCGTTCTGCTGTCTGTCTGACCGTCAAATTGATCAAAGTTTACGAGGCCGAATTATGTACATTGCTCTGATTTCCTTGCAAGAACTGCTCAAAGCTAGCTTTCAAGGATTTGAATATGTTCTCTTCCTATCTCATCTAACCTACACTCCTAGAACCTCCTTGCGAAAATTGTTCGTTATGGAATTTTTGTGGCGTGACTGGTGGGTATTGAGTGAGTTGATTAAGTCTTTAACACAAAAAACCGAGATTAGGGTTGCCCAAGAAAGGGAGAAATGAGTGTTTCCCACCCGTCAAAGTGTGGGTCTCGATGGGTAACTGCGATGGTTCTCGAGTCGAGTGGGCTTTTCCTATGTGTGACGCTCCGTATCAGAATCTCTAGACATGTTGCCAACAGCTGTCGAAATGTGTATGAGTTCGCGTTTGCTATAAGGAAGTTCGAGGCAGTGAGTTTCATTTCTAGTACAGCAGCTCAGATAGTAGACGTTCATTCTTCGCAGAGATCATGACCTGGTGCTCCACCGCTAAACTGTTTGTACTTTCTCACAAGCATTTAATGGACCCTGAAAACGTGCGCCTTCTCCTTCACCTGGATCACTGTTGCCTACAGGGTATTAAATCTTTTGCCTTTCTCACTTGACGGCTCTCTCTTCTATACTACCTCCACCGCGCTCTTTTGATACAACTAGCGAAGTACACAAGGTCCAGTCAATCTCCAGCAACAACCAACATGAAGACTACAGTTCTGAATGTTTTCGCCATTGTCCTTATTTGGGCGACGGCTGTCTTTGCTCTGGCCGCCGTTGACGATGACAGACAGCCACTGGTAGCTCTTGGTATGTTCCCGATTACAGCGCGTGTGAATACCTCAAGTTAACACTCTTCAGATCTCGATTCAGCTCATGGCAACAACCGCAACCAGGTCATTCCGCGAGTCTCACCTGATCAGACTAGCGACGCGGATATTCCATACGAGAGCTTTCCAGCTTCTGGAAACTCCACCGACGTTCACGCCTTCGGAGGAGACGGCGCCAACTGCAAGGGTAGCTCGCAGTGTAAATATTGTAGGGCGAGCCTTGACCAAATCCTCGAAACTCTCCACGAGATTCGTAAGTACATTCTACATCCTCTCATTCGTATTCTAGTCATGGGTGCTTTTACTGAAGCCATTGTTCATAGCCGATCATGTCACATTCAAGAACGGCGAGAAGATTGCGTGCCAAGTATGCAATCATGAATACTTTCAGGGCATGTGCATTTTCGCCCGAAACCTTCATATGGATATCAACGCCAAGGACGTCCGAGAGATCGTTCAGCGGCTTAGGAATCACCCCTGCGGACGTAAGTCAGACTAATCTTCTCGACGCTGGTAACTTGAAGCTGATGATTCTTAGGATGCGGAAGCGTTCCTATCCATAAGGGCGCAAGTCTCGACCAAGGTATGATCACAGCCAACTACATCAACCGTGCATGTGCTGGTAAAGCACAGGACCGCGCTCGGGGTTGCCCACCACCCTCACTATAAGCATAGGGACAAAGAGTCATTACTGTACAGAAGCAACTCAAAGCTCATCCTTGTACACCTCCTCACTTCCCTCGTGCATCTCATCCTCATCACCCTGCTCAGGCTCAGGCTCACGTTCCTTTTCCTTGCCCATGCCTGCGCTATCCTTATCCTTGTTCTTGGTCGTCTTTTTCTTCGTCTTCTCAGTGTCTTGATCTTCGGTGTCGATGATACCTCTGAACTCCCTGCCTCTAGGTGTATCTACAAGGTCTAATTTCCACCCTTTCTTGCCTGCTAGCTTCTTTAGATTTCCTTTCAAGGTCTCAACATCCTTGGGGTCGGCAATGTTGAGCTTCTTCATTTCTTCTTTAGACATTTGCTTGCCGTCACTGCTCGCTACTGTACCGACAAACGTCTCCTTGCCTCCTCCAACAACGACTGACTTCTCGATCACCTTGCCTTCGCTTCCAACAAACCTCTTCGCACCGACTTCAATGCCACCGATGACGATGCGCTTGGAAGAGCCCTCAAGGTCGTCGGCGAGCTCGCGAAGTGGGTTTGTATTTGCGTCGTCGGCTGTGTTGTGAGCAGCGATGAGACGTTCGGCTGCGGCCATCTTGGCAGAGACTTGTGCTTCCGTCCAAGCGTCGACTTCAGACTCTGGTATAACAGGTTCACAAGTTATAGGGTGCGCGAGGTTCTCTTGTGGTGGGGTGAAGGCGACATCGTGGCAGAGGCGAGGTGTATCGACAATCATGAGGTAGGAGCAGGTGCTTGTTTCCTTGATCATAGCGATTCTATCGGCAGACTGCGGATTGCAATGGAACTGAAGAGGATGTCAGGATGGCACGACATAGAACAGCAAGCGTGCAAGTACATACCTGTACATCAATCTTGCGCGGCTTGCCCGTCAAGTCGCATTCGGTACCGTCGGACAGCCGCTGCACCATGTACCTGCTCGACCCCTTGGTCTCTAGTCTTGATATCTCTAGGCCCTTCTCCTCCTCTTCACCCGCATCGCCCTCGTCGTCGAAAGCCTCCTTGCTGCCTTGTTCACTTCCAAGCGTTTTCTGGGCATCCGCTTTCTTGTTCTTGTCCTCTTTTGGATATTTGCCCAGTACAAAGCTGTGTACGCTCGTATCCTCGACGGGCGGATAGTGGGGGACCCCTCGGCTCTGGGGCAGTTGGTGGAACTGCTTGACCTCATCCTTGTAGCAGAAGCTATAACTCCACCAGCCGCTCACATAGTATATGCAGTTGCCCTTCATGCCTTCGAGCAACTCCCATCCACGGTCTGCTGCGCGTAGGAGCTCCTTCTCCTCCTCGGCCTTTGCTTCCTCGGCCGATGTTGTGTCATTCTGAGGTATCTCTTCGGGTATCACAGGTATGCTGCAAAGGTACCGCTGTCCGTGCAGTACTACTGCCTCGTATGTCTGCTCGAGCGGTTCGTCCTCGTGTGCTATGTTCGCGGCTGGCTTATCGCGCTTGGATAGTTCCTGCGTCTCTTGCGAACCCGGTGTGGCAGAGCTCGAGCTGGGTGATGCGTGGGAGAGCAGGAAAGTCGCATCATTCTCGGTCACAAAAGTGTCCGGCCATAAAACCTCATACTAGGTGTTCGGTCAGCGAGTGATGACGCCACCTAGGTGTGGGTATGTGCAGCGCATCGTACCTGCGGGAACGCGAGCAAGTCGTCGAAGACGCTAAATGCGTGCTGGTTCGCCAGCGCTATGCGCAGCACCGCTGGGAGTGCCCATATTCCCCTCATCTTTGACAAAATGCGCTACGATTTGCAGAGCGACTTGGAGGCTTGCGACGTGGAGCTGATTGCGGAGTTCTTGTAATCTTGGTTGGAGCCAGATGTCACTTCCGTGAAGCTAAACTGTATTTGGCAAGATTATTGGAGGACACGCGCTTTCGCAATACGGAAGAACATGCGCAACACGCAGTATTGCTCTACTAGCCATTTTTGAGAGAGCAGAATTACCGCATGGCACACAGTTACGAACTCTAACCGCCAAATTAGTATCGTAGGTTCTGTACCAGACCGAAGAAACTATTCAACCAAGAACTTGATCCTTTGCTTACACAGCGCCACCATCAATTGTCATCTACAGAATTTCTTTGTCCTTTACATTGTATCTGTATCTTACCTTACAAGCGACGATTCCGTCGATGAGCACTTACAGCTTCTAGTGTTTATCAAGTTAGGTGATGATGTCATGTCTTGGTCTATCCTCTTGATGTATACCAGTCAACAACTTCTTGCAAACTAGAAAAGTCACTGAACACTGATAAGGCTGAGGCGTCTCTGATGTGGTGTGGGGTAGTATGCGCAGTGCTGGCTGTGTACTCCAACCGGTCAGCTCGCGACCACATCTTCGAGCCGCGCACGTTGGGCACACGTTAAGCTGTCCTTTTGCTTGACATGAGCTTTTATTCACGGAGACCGGATCGATTCTGTCGAATATGTCATCTTCCTTTGATATTCTACGAGAAACGGCTAAAGTGACTAATCTGCGCCACCCACTCCAACAGAATGAGATCAGACTTGTGAGGTTGAAGTCTGCTCCATGGGGAGCACCGATCATGTGTGAGTTGAACAGTGTTGACATCAAGTACAGCCCATGGGCAGCATCTTCAGCAAGTGCAAGCAATGTATCGTGTACCTTGGGGACAAGCTTGATGGCTCTACCCCGTCTTTAAGTGAACCACCGCCAGTTTTGCACTTCGACTCCAAAAGAGATTCTCCAGTCAAAGAGAAAAACGCGAGTCGCAAATCCGGCGCATGTGAGGCGTTTCGGTTTTTCGTGGAACTAAACGAAGATCATGAGCAGTGTGTTGGGCTGTTCGAGAAACTCTGCAAGAGCTGCCGACAGATCAGTAGAAGGTCATTTATGGCAGCTTCAACAAGATCATTAGTATCGATAGCCTCCGCATTCGACAGCAAGATCCCATTGCCGATGCCAACTCTCGAGGCTTGTTGGATCTCTTGATCCAGTTCCGGGACCGTAATGCTTCCGATCCCAGAGACAAGGTGTACGCTCTTCTCAGTGAAAGTTTCATGTATACCATATGCGCAGGTGTGATACACTTTACAGATGCTGGTGTATACAGAATATAGAGTAAAGACGTTGGAACTTTCGAAAGCTAGGGAAAATACCCAAGGCTATCGCCATATCACAAAACCGACGGCGAAGAGGCTTCTGACGACGATATGTACTTTAAAGTGCAAAGGCTGCTCGAAGATGCTTATGGTCCAAACATCGACGTAGGTGTCCAAGAGAGATCTCTTGTTTCAGACATCGATCGGTCGATGTGCGTTGGAACGCTCTCACGGCGCCTGAACGTCGGTGAAGATTACGCTGGACTAGGACCAGCGGGGACATCTGTTGGTGATGATGTGTTTCTCCTAAGTGCTGGAAAGACACCATTTGTACTACGACGGCATAAGGATCAAAGGGAAACGGAACCGGCACCGAGATATGAGATGATTGGCGATTGTTATGTGCAAGATTGGATGGACGGGGATGCAGAACTTCTGAATTCCTGCAAGTGGATGGACACAACGCTTTCGTGATATCCCAGCTGACTCTGAAATCTTTGAATCGAGACGATCCCTGTCGATGTGAAGACTCTGTAAGGGTGGATGTGCTTTCGCAGCGATATAGCAGTAGGCAGCTGTCTTTTATATTTGCAAATAGGAAGCTGTAGGAGAGTAGAAATTGTTGTAACCAGGTGTATGAGAATGCTCGAAAACGCTTTCCTGAGTAATAGCTGGACAACCCTGCTCTTGCGTGTGTCACGACGATGGAGACACTATGCCCTGTCAGATCGGGGTCCACTTGGTAAGGGTTAGCTTCAAGGATGACGTTGCTAGTGACGCGAAACTTTCACGAAAAAACGTGACAAGCTGCTCGGGCGACTCTCAGCAACGCTGCACTACTGCTACAACAATCTTTCCATATGCGTAGAAAACCAGAAGCACTTCTGAGAGCCAGCTCTCAATCTCCATTTATTTAGAATTGAGAACAAAGATTGTAAAAGTAGTAGTAGAGCACACTGCCCTCTATCGGCTTATTTCTAACTTTTGTTTTGGCGCTAGAGATCTTGCTGCCTTGTATGCTGGAAGCAGGAGGTGCCCAGCCAATAGCGGGGTGCGCGCGGGCCGCCCCAAAGCCTCATAACTCGCGACGCCTCGAGTCTGCGTCCATTCACTTCCGACGTTCGTGTTAGGTGTCTGTATGGTTCTGCTAGCAAGGTGTGTCTTGGTTCCAATTGCAATCGCATAGCGGAGATGATTGCCGACGTGTTCGCGCTGACATATTGCCTCAGAGCCTGTTCCTAGGGCAACCCTTCGCATCGTCTTCCTCCACGCCTGTACGCGCACGCCATCAAGGCAAACGTCTGCCTCGCTTTACCTACATACACATTCCACACCTTTCGCGACTGCGTCGCTGTAATACACACTGCATTGCCACTCGATTTGGAGTCGCATTTGCCTCATTCCATCCTACAAAAGTTGATCTGCATCTGAGACGGAGGCCCGGAAAAAGAAAGTCAAGGGGCTGTATACCCAGACTAGGATTCTCCATCAAGCCTGGCTGAAGAGCAGTTCTGTTCAGACTGGTTAATGAAGACCTGGTGGCGGACAGTCGCATTATAAAGAAGCCTTCACTTCCAGCCCTTGGCTGCTTGTGGTATACAAGAAATTGATACGTCCCATTGATTTGAAGCACGTCGCAGAGCTCTGGCGTTGGTTCTGCTTGCGTCTTCGTCCAGAACACTCTACACACGACTATCTGCGCAACCCATTCATTAAGCGCACGGTCCAACATCGTGCCTACGTTGTCCAAGTGATCACTCACTCTACTATCAGCGCAACTACCACCAGCTCGCGCTAGACCTACCTCGAATCATCTCACGAACCCCGCAATCTGCTGCATACCGTGTATAAAAGCCTAGAACCCGCCCTTCAATCACCCGCTCGACAACGTCTGTCGCCTTCCAAGATCCCACGGCCGTACCTTTCGCCAGGTCTCAGACCAAACCCACCAGGGCTTTACAGGACTATACGCCCTCGAAGATCCGCCTGGCAATCACCATGGACGCCGAACCATCTCAGCAGACTCAACCTGCGACTCAACAGGTCCTAGATCCACGGCGACTGGGCAGAAACAACTCCGGTCTTAACGACGGTGATATTGCCGACGTCTTGGTAATCCTCCACCCAGCCACTCCCACAGCCATACGCATAGTCGAACAGACAGCTCTGGAGCGACCTGAGCATGTCCTTTTCCGCAGCTCACTCGATTCCATGAGTAGTTCCATCACCGACGTCGAAGAGCAGGAGACATTCATCATCAACGCCCCTGAAGGACGGCAGGGTAGCAGTTCGCGTGCTGGCGCAGATCTGGCATTACGTATGTCGTCTGCAAAAAGGCTGAAGTTCAAGCCACTCGGATTCATATTTGGGCGCAATCACCAGAGCGCCGATGTCATTTTCGGTCAGGACTCCGGCAAGAGGATAAGCAATCAACACTTTCGCATATACCTCAACGCGGATGGCCTTCTCATGCTGGACGACATGTCGACCAACGGCACCATCGTTGACGATTCGCTTCTGAAGTGCAAGGACAAACGCTTCAGCAGGATGCGGATGCTCAGCTCAGGTTCAATCATCTGTATCCAAAACTCTAATGATGCAGAGATGATCAAGTTCATTGTGCGTATACCTTCTCGGGTCAACTACCTGGACCGCTTCCGTGAGAATTTGCGCAACTTCATCACCGAGTGCCAACCAGACTTTGGCGACGCACAGGGCAAGGCTGTTCAGCGAATTACAAAGCAGTATGGCGGGCCGTCGATGAAGTGGGACGGTGGTGAAACCTATAACATCGTCGGTATGTATTGCCTTCGTGGCTTGGTTGATACTTGCTAACTGTTCTCAGGCCAGATCGGTAAAGGCGCCTTTGCGACCGTCTATCAACTTGCTGAGAAGATGACTGGAAAGCTCCTCGCTGCCAAAGAACTAGAGAAGCGCCGATTTATGAAGAACGGTATGCTAGACAAGAAGATTGACAATGAGATGAAGATCATGCAAGATCTGCGGCACCCGAACATTGTCGAATTCGTCGAATACCATGACCAGGGTGATTATCTTTATATCATCATGGAGTTCGTGCGGCAAGGCGATCTGCAAGGCTACCTCAACCAGTACGGATCCATGAAGGAACATGTTGCGAGGTTGATGGCCCAGCAAATCTTGAGCGCACTCAGTTATCTCCACCGTGCGAAGATCACCCATCGTGACATCAAGCCTGACAACATCCTCATCTCCGATCTGGAACCTTTCACTGTCAAACTATCGGATTTCGGCCTTTCCAAAGTTGTCAAGCACGAGGAAACCTTCCTCAAAACCTTCTGTGGAACCCTACTGTACTGCGCTCCAGAAGTGTTTCCTGATTTTAGCGGCCAGTCGAAAGGTACCAAGCGCCGGCGTGGTGCCAAGACATACCACTCGTACAGCTCGTCTGTGGATATATGGTCCTTTGGTGGTGTCCTCTGGTACGCTCTATGTGGCGAGCCTCCGTTCAAAGGTATCGCAGATGCCACTGGCGAAGCCATGTTCAACAATATTATGCACACTCCCCTCGATCCGACACCGCTACAGAAGGCAGGTGTGTCTGCCGCTTGCATCGATCTTCTGACGCGCATGCTTCAGACCGACCCTGCAACTCGTCCCACAGATCGCGACTGTCTTAACCATCCATGGCTCAAAGATGGTGCACAATTCCTAGCCGACCCGACTCTCCAGTCCATCGCGGAAGAAGAGGAGCCAGAGGAAGCTGAGCAGCAGCTATCGCAGCTCAGTCTTCAGGAGGAGGAGATTCTAGAGTCAGACGAAGAAGGCGACATCCTATCTGATGACGAGCTCATGGCCTTTGTCACAGAGCGCCAGCCAAAGCGAGTTCGCGCTGATCCTTTGTACCCTCGAAATCAGGTGCGAGATCATGAGGATTCCAGCGTCGAGCCATCGTTTACTTCCTCACATCTTGTGAATGACGAGAGTTTTCAAGTTATTCCCACACCGAGGCAGCCTCGTTTGTTTGGTGAGATTGGACAGTCTGCTTTGCAGAGCTCTGGAGTTTTGAGTGCTCATGCCAATGATGCGCTCTCACAGGATGAATCTGTTCGTCTGGTTCAGAACGATGGAGCAGGCGACACTAGTTACACTACTCGTGAGGCAGAGTTTCAGGGTCCTTTTACTGCACCTGCGCAGCTCGAGCGCGGCTTCTCTTCGCCAAGCCTCCTTGGTGCGGAGTCTTTGGTACGAGATCTCAATATGACCTCGCCGCACTCACCCGTATCTAGAACGCAAAGCCCCGTGATGCCAGCGACACCGAAGACCCCGGAAGTCGTTCAGCATAGCTCTTTGGATCAGTCGTCCAAGGACTTTAGCCAAGATAGCGAGCCAACTCCGAGAGCACGACCTTCTGGGATGAACCGACAGATCAATCTTCCTTTGACTGCTTCCTACTACTACGACCCCAAAGATCCAACTACACATAATCTGGAGTATGCTTCTAGAGTGAGCGGATTCGATTTCGTGTCGAACAGCCGCGACGCTACAAGTAATACATCCGCATATCCTGACACGACAGCAGCATCGGAAGCAAGTGCGCTGTCGACAACATCGAGTGTTGCTGCAGCACCATCTACAGCGGTAGCAATTCCCTCGGTTCCGGTGGAGGTTGACATTCGTCCGCCACCACGGCGACTGGGTAAACTCATCGCAACCCCCGATTCCTTCGCGCCTAACCTTGTTCTCAACATCGATCAGAGCAAAACTTCCTGGGGCCGTTTGGGCAACAACACAATCGTATATGAGCACAGAGGTGATACACGCATTCCCAAAACAGCTTTCATCGTGTTCTTTTACTCGCCTGGTGGAGAGGCTCCGGAAACCGTAGAGGAGCTTTCGCAACAGGGCAAAGATTGGACCACCTTAGACAACCTGAATGTTGGCATCTGGACCTGCGCCACACACGGCATCTCGATCAACGGCAAGCACTTGAAGCAGAAAGACGATAAGGGCCGTGCTCTCTTTGGACATCTGCATACTGGTGACATCGTGCAAGTGTATCACGACGCCCGCGGAACTGAGTGCCTCAAATTCCGCTGCGAGTTCTACGTCGGAGCCGGCAAAGAGCCACGACCCGCAGGCAACAGCTTCGGCACACTGATCGGTAACAGGCTTTCACAGTAGACTTGTCTTTGCCGAGAAAGCATCCGCATAACAACGTTTGTGCATCACAACAGCATCATCTCATTTCTCGGTCATCATCATTCTGTTTGAGTTAGCGGGCGTTGACGGTTCCTGTACTACTATCTCCATGCTATCTTTGTGCATATTCTCTTTGTAATAGCATCACCTCGGTGTTGGGGCTCCAAGATCGAGCGAAAATTGTCATTCTTAGTCGTGAACGCACACTGGGTGGATGGTACATGAGCGACATAAACATACTGTTTTGTATTTGGTGGAACGTGTTACGAGCATGAATTTGGGAAGAGGCTAGAGATGGAGCTCGCATAGTCAGACGCCTAGAAAGGCGAGAACATCAATCGATCCATTGAGACAATAATACTGTCAGTATGACATAGCAGCCCTTGGTCCTTGTCGCACTTCTCAGATGGCCGAAATTGACCAAAAAGGGCCTTTGTTAAAGACTGGTCTTGGGATGACCAAGACTTGAGATTGCATGACCATAAGCAAGTGAGAGCCTCAACTTCAATTCTCGTTCTCAATACTGGGAAAATATATGACAAGCTGAACAAAGAGGTTGCTCATTCTTCCTGTATTAGTATGAATCAATTGGCGTACCTAGGTGGTGCTCACTGTTCGTTTCTTTCCTTGCTCTTGCAAAGTCCTTTCTGTCGTCCTTGCGTGTCAGATCTCGTAGCCTGCACGGAGTGCTACCGTGAACTGCTGACACGAACTGAGGATAACGGCATACCGACAACATATTGTCGATCTTAGAGCCCCCTCACTCATTTCGTATCTATGAAACTAGTTCATGGGGGCGCGGTTGTAATATCCAAGTCCAAGACCGTGAGATGGGGTCGTTCAAAATACCCAAGTAGCCCTGTGGTCTACATAGAAGTTTTTGGCGAACGATAAATGGTATTGTTGACTAAGCCTCTGAACTTACCACTAAACTGCTAGAATGTAGAACCACACTAGGCCGGTACGATCCGGTTCCACCAGGAGTGCCGGTGGAGCTTCGGGATGGTCGGATGCGTGCAGGCTTTGTCGTATCTCGCGTACTTGGGATACGATCACGAGGGTAAATTGTATTCAAGATGAGACACCCGCTTTGTCGTCGAATTTGTGACACAAAACCCATAGGTATAAAGCGCGATCGATTTGCCTCTTGCATCTAAACATACAGAAAGATCTTCAAGAGCAACTTGACAAAGCTGCTGATGTCTGTGAAGTCGTCTCCTTGCAAGCCGAATTGCACCCCGACAGACACGCTGTTCACAAGCGCCTCCAAAGGCATAGTGAGAGTACTACAGGTAACATTTATGGGATTGTGTTTCTTCTAAACCAGTGGAATATATGCCTTCCCTCTTTGTCGGGCCCGTCTACTCCTCAACCGAATAATACCAAAGATCGTTCCAACAAAGGCCGTGGCAACACTTGCGATCGCCCATGGTCGCTCTACGAACCACAATACCACGGCGACATCCCCACCATGCCATGATCCTCCAGGCTTATGACCGAAAAAGGTGTATTCTTCTGAGTAGAAGACTCGCGGTAGGACGACGAAGGAATCTGAGTCTGGGTGGAACAAGTCAGCTATCAGGATTGTTTTTGTTTGTTGAGCATAAGTTGCTGACTTACCAAGGTCGTCTCTGGCCCCGCGCTGCATACATTTTCCATCGGGACATTCCTCGAACCATTCTTGCAGTATCGTACTCGTGAACTGTGGCCCAGTCGTCCAGAAGATTGTAAGGTATGGGAACAGCAGATTCCAGTTGTGTGTCACCAGACCCTCTGTCATCCTCTTCACGATCGGATGCTTTGCTGCGGATGCCATCAGGTCGTTATTGACACCCAAAGGCGATGCTTCCGGAAACCAGGCTGGAAAGTCAAGCAAAGGATCCAATGAGCGTCGACACGCGACATCTAGGTCCATGTATACACCACCAAAGTGATAAAGCGCGAAGTACTTCAAGGCGTCGACCTTCTGAATAGGGTACTTGTAGTTGTCATATGTTGGTAAGAACCAGGCGTACTCATTGGATAGAAACTCGCGAGCGCTCGTTGCATTCCACATGCGGATCTCGTAGCTTGGGTTGTGCTCGCGACATAGTTGCGGTGATCCAAATCCAATCGATGGGCCTCCAGAAGGCCCTTCATGGCCTGGGTAGATTCTTTCGAACCATATGTAGTGTATCGTACGTGGGATCTTGGTTCCGTTGTAGGTGGAAGAGTAGTCGGACTCCTGAGGCTGCTGGTTGTTTGCCCGCGATTCGTTCAATTTCTTCGCGTAGTCGGTGGGGAAATCGTCGAATGTGATTTGCTGTTCGACGAGGAAAGACTGAAAGACATATTGGTGCCAGATGACGCTCACTATTTTGAGCAACACTGCGGCAGCAATAACTCTAACGACGAGTTGACGGACAAACATCTTTCCACTATTGTATAGATGCTAGGTTTGGTGAGTAAGGGGTGGGACACACTGTTCTGACATGAGGAAGTAGGAGACTTTTCATGCTCTCCATCAACTGCATGCCCCTTTCTCCCATTCATACAGCCGTCTCGGGTACACCGCCCTTGACGCTAGCCTCGTACATACTACAACATTGATACACCTTGACACTTACGCCCTGTGATTGACAAGGCCCTCGTCAGCTGCTGTGGTCATCCTAGGGATACGAGTTTCAGGAGGAGAACCGTGGGTAGCATGCCAAACAGTGCACATCCTCGATCCATAGTGCGGTGTAGTGATCGTCCGAGGCTGGCAGGTAGTCAATGCTAGCGCCCAAATTGTCACCGTGCTTGGACAGAAAGAGAAGCGACATGCCACCGTGGATTTACTATCATTGCAAACTTCTCAACATAGGTTCCAGTTTAAATCTAACGAAGGAACCGATAAACATTATCTCTTATCTAGCCGCCCCAAGACTTGATGAGTTGCCTTGCTTCGTAGTAGGTATGAGCAACCTGACGGTACTTACCAGCGTCGGACCGAAGGACCAGTTTTGTCAAGCTTATTAAAGCTCCGAGTATGGTTCCATCGTCGACTTCGAGCACTTTGGGCACGGGAAGTGATGTTGTGAAACGTGGAGGGGCGCTCGAACACTGTGGCTATGCTACCTAGCTCCTCGCGGTCGCATAAGCCAACTATGAATACAGGTACCGAGCTAGCTTCTGTTAAGCGGATGTGTTTCTACTGTAGTAACGGCACGGTGAGATGTCTTGTGCCGAGGCTCCGTCAACTAGGGTTCGGTCCGTATTCAGTGATTTTCCAGATGCATCTCGCGTTTCTTTCTCTAGCCGTGATGCTTTAATGTTCGGCGGTAACAACGCGCGTACCTTAAAATCAACTTTCTTGTCTGTTCTTACCGCTTAACTTACAGCCGATTGGTTATAGACGACAGTGTACATGATCCCTTAGGGGCTCCTGTATTGAGGCCAACGGCGTTGCCGCAACTAGCAGCGAAGCGAGACATGACTTCTAGATGGAGAAATTACATAACACTGGGTCTGATCTGGGGTATCGCGACTATTAATAAAGTAGCGCTTGTCTTGTCCCTTGACGCGGCTTCGCATGATTTGGCGAACGCTTGTTTTGAATGATGGAGTTGGGTTGCGGTGAGAACGGCGGCCCTTTGGTGTAGCGAGGATGCCGGCTTGATGGACTAGAGGACTGCCTCGCTACATGTTGGGATAGGCGCTGTACAAATGAGCTCTCTATGGTAATCGAAATGATTTGACTGCGCCACGGGTGTTTCAGAATCAGAATAAGTGAGTGTCAGTCAGGTGCGGAGAATCGAGCCGAAAGGAAAAAATTGCGACACAGGTCTGGCGCATGCCGACTACTTTCGCATGACGTGGATCCACCAACGGAATTCCCGATGTCTTCGTCGGTTCCTGGTTTGAGGTGGAGCATCAGCACATGTTTTTAGTGCGAACAAGACCACTCAGCTTCAACGGCGCCATCATCACGGGTAGCTTGACTCTAGAAAACTGACTTAGCCTGGGTTCCACACCCGAAGAACATCGAGTAATTGTCTATAACCAACACTCAACGCGTGAAGCCGCGCTGGAAGCGAACTAGTCGACCGGCGAGTTCTGACGCGGCCCCCGTATCCGCTAGATGCGCACATTCGTGGGTACTTTAAAGAACTGAATGACCCATTGTTAGTGGTATCACCTAGACTCCTTCGTGTGTGTGGTAGCAGCTACCATTTGTTGTCAGCTCATTGTACATTTCAGGGGTTCCTCGTTCCCACGTTGTACGATCCAAGGTTCCCGCATTGCCAGGTGGTCTGTTCTCGCCAAGTCCATCCGCGAAAATGTTGCTGCACAGCCCTAACCCTAAAGTTGCGCCTTCTCTTGCCATATCGAGAATGGGTTGTGTACATAAGCTGGTTCAACTGGGATAGCAGGCGACAGGAGTAGATGCAACATCGGCCAGATGCGCGGTGTTGCGCACAGGGCAGGGCAGATTCCAATCTTTCACACTTAGGTAATACATTTAATTCCGCGAATCAGCGCGACACATCGCGTGGTACGTCTAGGTACCACCTGGGCAGTGTTATGTGTTCCTGTGCTTCATCCTTGCAACTTGCTTTACGTGATAAGCCACACGTATATTGCTATGAAGATCCCATATTCCTAGCTAGGCACTGTCATGTAGCGACGATGCATTACCCTCTTCCCCAATCTTCAGTCCCTAGTATACGTAGATGAAATCTTCGTTCTCCATATCTGTCAAATCCGAGAAGCCATTGTCTTGCTCCTGTCTCTGGTCTTGCGCCTCCATTTCCACTCCTTTCTGTGTCATTTCCTTTTTCTTCAACATACTTTCGTCAATTCTCACTGCGCTCTTGCCTAATTCCTCTCTTCGCTTCGCATGTCTCTTGTTCAACAGTGCCAAGTACATAGGAATGAGGAGTGCGATGATAGCAACCAGCGCGAACATTACCAGGTTGGAGATAAGGCCGGGCCGGTATAGAGGTGCGTCGTCAACAGAGTACAAGAGTGGACCGATGACGTTGCCTGTGCACATGCCGATGAACACCATAGCCGACGTACACTTCTTCTTCGTGTCACCAGCGGTGTTCTGCACGTGCCAAGTGTATATCAAAGGTGTGATGGCAGCAAGACATGATACAAGGTAGTATCCAAAGAGCAAGACGCCTTTGTGCTGACGGGGTACGGTCAACATCATGATCGTGCCGATAATGGGTAGGATCGCGACAAGGGCAATGGCAAGACCTTTGCGACTCCAACGTGCCGCTCCCCAGGAAGATCCCAGGATACAGACGACCTGAATGACACCGAAGGGAATGTTGAAAAGAATAGATTGGAAGTTAGTATAGCCAAAGTCGCGGATGATGAGATTCCCAAAGGTGGATATACCGCCGCTTGCTATGCTTTAAGAGAGATATTAGTAACAGGCCTCTGATGCAACTAGGTCAACTACTTACGAGATAGCGATGATGGCAATGAACCAACACCAAGTCTTGAAGTCGATCAAGGTCTCCCAGACCTGATCCCACTTCCACTCTCCAGACTGAATACCCATTTGGTTAGCCCTCAGACGCTCGACCGCAATGAATCGTTCTCGCTCGGTTAAGTATTTGGCTTTCATCGGGCTATCCGGCATCAAGACAAGGACGACGAAAGCATACGCTACAGTCAAGAGACCGCAGAACATGAAGATAACCTGGTACTTGTATAGCGAGTCACTATTGATGTGTCCAAGACCGTAGGTGAAAAGGGACCCAACAATGAATGTGACACCGTTCATAGCGTTCCAGTAACCCGTTCGAAGAGTTTGTTCGGAACGGCGCCACCACATCGTTGTGGTCGCAACACACGCAGGAGCTATCATGGCTTCGAAGGAACCCAATACGAATCGCATACCGAGAAGGCTTTTGAAATCAGTACAGGCGGACATGATGGCCAGGCTGCTACCCCAGAGGAAGATAGCCGTTCCGATGACCTTTCCAGTGGGCAGTTTGACGAGGATGAATGCGGCGAGCGGTTGCATGACTAGTTGGGCAAGATAAAGGATAGAACCAAGCCATGAGTATTGTCGTCCTACTAGTCCTGCATCCTTTTGCAGACCGAAGATAGAGACGTAGGATAACGAAGACTTATCGAGCTGTTGGAAAAAGTAGGCTCCTCTGAATATGGGTGTACAAGGTCAGTGCATATCTCACATGTAGTTCGTACAGAGATACTCACAGCAAAAGAGGGAGAACTCGATAGTCCACGCGCTTGAGGAGTGCGTGCTCTTCTTCGTAGGAGAAAGATACATCATCGACATGCGCATTGGCTAGAAACTTGGCTGCAGCGTCGGCTTTCGCAATATCCTGTCCAACTGTGGGGGTGGAGTGCTCGACATGGGTGATGGTGTCGTCTTTGGGAGTTTCAGTATAGGTTGTCGCCATGATGTTGCAGAGCGATGACTTTAGGATAGGTACGTGTTCTTCGTAATTATCTCCTAGGTGGTGGAATCATCTACTTATCAGTGGAAGGCTCCAGTTCGGAGAATAAGAACCGACCGGTTGGGTCGACGATTCTTGCTCGCATCTTCGTGTTGGGTATTGAGCATCCACATGGCCATGCGTATCTCAAGCTTCCCGGTCGCAGTCAAAGCCCCTCATAGCCATGCTGATCCACGTATCACATCCTTCCATCCGTTGTCCATCCGCGCAAGTAGCACATCAACACAAGCTTTTGGGTAAGGAGTGAGCTTCCCCGCAGAGCTCACGCGGTAAACCCCATGCTTAGCTACGGTCGCCCCTGCTTCACTTTCCCCATGGGGGCGGATCCTGTGGGGCCTCTTCTCGAAACATTGGTTCACCAACCGGCTATAGTGGCGGCAAAAGGCAGGATCGACATCGCGATATCGCGTGGTGCAACGTTCGGGGTGGGATGCGCCGAATTCGACGGCCTAGCCGGGGTAGCGATACACCGATGCGTCGTCGTGGGAAACTTCCTAAGAGGTTAAGAGGTGGCTGCAGAACAAAGTCTTGACCTACCGTACGCTTGGTTTAACGTTCATTCTCGTATCTTTTATTAGCAAAAATGACGGGGGGGAACAAACAAAAGAGATATGCTCTGATTGGTACAGGGGGTCGTTCGTCCTTCTTCTACACAGCGATAGCCACGACCTACAAAGAGACCTCTGTTGTTGTAGCGCTATGCGACACCAACCAGACACGACTGGACTTTGCGAACTCACAGTTGGAATCTCTCGGCCATGCCAAGGTTCCCACTTTCAAAGCGTCGGATTTCGACCGAATGATTCGAGACACGAAACCAGATGAGGTCATCGTAACAACCATCGATCGCACACACAACATCTACATTGTTCGCGCGCTGGAACTAGGGTGCAATGTTGTAACGGAGAAACCCATGACTATTGACGCACCACGGTGTCGTGAGATCTTCGATGCTGTTGAGCGAACGGGCAAGAAAGTACGCGTTACGTTCAACTACCGCTACGCACCGCACAACACAAAGGTCTGGGAACTTCTTCGTTCTGGTGCAATTGGAAGGGTGACGAGCATACACTTCGAATGGATGCTCAACACGTCGCATGGCGCAGACTACTTCCGCCGCTGGCACCGGGATAAGCGTAATAGCGGTGGGCTACTCGTCCACAAATCAACCCATCACTTCGACCTCGTCAATTTCTGGTTATCGTCGCGTCCGGAAACTGTGTACGCGCAGGGAAATCTGAACTTCTACGGGCGAGAGAACGCTGAGAAGCGAGGCGTTCAAGACTTCTACACAAGAGCCCATGGCAGTGAGGTGGCGAAGAAAGATCCATTCGCACTGCACATGGACCAAAATGAGAAGCTGAAGAAGATGTACCTCGATGCCGAGCACGAAGACGCATACTATCGCGATCAAAGCGTCTTCGGCGACGGCATAAGCATAGAAGATACAATGAACCTCCTGGTAAAGTATGAGAACGGTGCGGTACTCACCTACTCCCTGACTGCATACGCACCATGGGAAGGCTTCCGCGTGTCGTTCAACGGCACTGGGGGCCGTGTGGAAATGGAAGTCGTCGAGAACAGCTACGTGAACAGCGGAGGTGACCAATCGCTCGAGGGATCACTCGAAAAGCGATCGATCACACTCAGAAAGCTGTTTGAGAAGCCTGAGGACATAGAGATCCCTGATTCTGTTGGGGCGCATGGCGGAGGCGACGAGGTCCTGCTAGCAGATTTGTTTGGTGAGCAAGGTGCAGAGATCGACCAGGATATGAGAGCTGCTAGTCACGTTGACGGTGCGCTTTCAATTCTTACGGGTATCTGTGGAAATAAGTCAATGGCTACTGGACAGGTTGTTAAAGTTAGCGACGTGTTCGTGGTGTAACTGTGTATGGCGTGTCGGCCGTAGTAGGATAGTGAACTATCGAATTTCTCGGTATGCACGCAATGATACGATGTGGTATCTAGTGTTTCCGCATCTCAATAAAAGATCACGGTGGCTGGTAGTGACTAGTGACTTCGTAGAAATAAGCGTCATCGTGTGGGCCGAACCGCGGCTGCCCCGAACCCTGACGAACAACGCTAAGATCGACGGGTCTCTCATTCCCGATGATGTTCGTGAGTAGCTTTTCGTCACCGACATGTTGTTTGCTTGTCTCATCAGCTAGCTCCTTGACATTCTAGCGATATTGGAAATGTTGCGCCCCCTGCAATACCTTCCGCACATATGTCCACTTTCAGAGGCGTCATAGCTGGTGAACATTGTTGCGCTACCCTTCTCAATCGATATGCAGACTAACATCTTGCTATAGAATTTCCCCACATCAGGATAGATTATTTCCGTCAGCAACCGGAGCACAAAGCGCCGTTAGCATGCTTCTTGAGTCATGTACACTCTGATCATTTGGCCGGCCTCGAGTCGTTACGCGCTCCGTTTGTGTACTGTTCAGCTGCGACTAAGGAGGTGATTACTAAACTTGTTCGGCTCTGATGAACTTCACTGTAAAACTGACATGTCTTGTAGATACTGCTGCGACTAGAGAGATTTTACTATCGTATCAACTTTGCTAAGGGTATCCTTGAGAGTAGCAATGTCACTTACGACAGAAGCATGCGCAAACTGGCTAAGGCGCTCCCTCTTGACACACCAACCTTGATTGAATTAGCGCCAGGAAACAGTATCAGGGTAACTCTTATCGATGCGAACCATTGCGTCGGTGCCGTCATGTTTCTGATCGAGGGCAATGGTAAAGCAATACTGTACACCGGCGATATCCGTGCGGAGGAATGGTGGGTAAACTCAATAGTACAAAACCCAGTACTATTGCCATATTCACTCGGAAACCGAGAGCTCGATTGCATGTATTTGGACACGACTTTCGCTACGAAAAAGGAGCCCTATCGACAATTTCCGAGTAAAGCACAAGGCATACAAGAGCTGCTGGACAAGGTGGGTGAGTATCCGCGCGATACAATCTTTTACTTCCATTCTTGGACGTTTGGGTATGAGAACGTATGGATAGCGCTCTCTGCATTCCTACACTCGCGCATACACCTTGACGAGTATCGAGCGCGTGTATACGGTTCATTGTCTACGCTAAATAAGCGGCAATTGCGAGAAGCAGGCCTCGATGTCCCAGCAAGTAACAAGCCGCTTCAAGAATCTGGACTGGAGATCCGCGAGGCTCCTGCTTTATGCGGTTTTAGGAATGGAAATCACATACAACCGGGTTGTCTGACGTCTCAGGAGGACGTCCGCATTCATAGTTGTGAGCGTGGCATGGGTTGTTCTGTCCTGGACCGCGATTCGAACGCAGAGATCATACACATCATCCCCATCGTTACGCGCACCGACGGAGTGGATATCGCCGAACTAGGCGCTGGAGGTGGCAAGGGCGATCTCGATCAGAAAGAAGAGCTAGAGTCTGGTGGAGTGGGCGGCATGGACAAGTTATTGGAGCTCTGTGCTGCATCCATAGACGATGAGCGTTTGCTCGCGAAAGTAGTTGCGTTGGTACGGCGTACTCTCATCGAAGATGGCAAACTCGACCTCGACATGCAGCTTCAAAAGCACATTCATGACACGCAAGACGACGTGTCTTTGGAAACTCTCGTCTCTATATTGTCATCTAATGCTTTACAAGACTCCGGAATGGAACTGCCGTCTAATAAGACGATTCGATTTCCATACAGCCGCCATTCTTCATACTCCGAACTTCGTGGCTTTGTTAGGGCCTTCAGTCCTAGAGATGTATTTCCATGCACTGTTGACGATGTTCATTGGACACTCGAGCTTAGCATGCGAAATCTGTTTGGCGATTTGTGCTCGGCTGATCTTTTTCGCCACGATACCATAATGATGGAGATTTTCGAAGCAAGATTAGCCTTCGAGGGCCGACAAAAGCGATACAGAGGAGAGAACCAAGCGGATACGCAAATGACTGATGATGGGGCCCATGAACGGGATGTCATACTCCCTACCTCGAACGACCTCGCTTCAAGCACGCCGACCAAATCAGGAAGCTTTGGGGTTCGGAGGGTTCTTCCTACATCAGAAACACCTTTTGCGCATAGTTTTCGTCAGGAAGTGACCGATCAAACTCCAGAAGATCAATCTATCCACTTTGCATCGGTGGCCAAACAGCACACCACGGCTTCCGATTCTTCCTCCAGGATAGATTTACTGGCACCCAGCTTACACAAAAGGCGACGAAAGACAAATCGGCAACTTGCTTACGACGCAGCAATTGGAGCCGATGGTCTTTCTTGGAGCGACTATGGTGGTTTAGTTTCAACCAGAAGCAGGGCCGTCCAAGATGAGCCAGAGCTCTGAGAGAAACCCCGATCTTGCGACCCTTTGCTAATATGGGCGATTTGACGCTCACATCTGCTGCAGAGAACATGGTTTGTTGTAATGCGGTGGCAAAAGGAATAGTGTGGGAAAGCTTTTGAGATGATATGGTGTGGTTGCTGTACTCCTTCGCATTGGCATCGAGGGTCCTAACTTAACAATGTATTTAAAGATCAACGTGGTTCATTTTTTGCAAAAAATACTACCCTCACCTTTTCACTTCTATCAGATCCTTTCGTGTTCTCTCTCTACCTCTCCGTCAGACTGTTCTTGCTCGCGCTCCATCCCTCCGCAGCTCAAGTCAGCACGACACACCAACGTCTTTTCTTCGAATAACCCTGTGCCATCTCCCAACCTCCCTTCCTTTGCGATGCGTTCAGCCTGCTTCGTATCCACCCACCAATATTCCTTGAACCCTCTTAGCGGGAAATCTCTAACTTTGTCGTCACCTCCGTCTAGTCCCACGTACCCCCGAACTGCCTTATGTAAATCATTCACGTAAATCTGCATCAATGTTGGCCTATCTAGCTGCCAGTCTGCTAATTCGTGAATACTAGGTAATGGCCAGCAGTCGTCCCAGTGCGCTCGTAACGAATCGAGACGACCAAGATCAGCCGGCAGGCCTGTGAACTCTACGAACTTGCGTTCCACAGCTGACGCAAGAACTTGCCATGCGCGCCCGTGTCCCAATGTATTCAGGTTCCATTCAGTACTCCAACAAGCTTGGCAAGCATAGTAACGAAAGAATATATGACAGGCTTCGTGTAAAAGCGTGCTGAGCATTAAATTGCAGTCTATAGATGGTATTATGACGATGCTGTAGCGAAAATAACGCACAGACGCCACGCCAATTGCCGTTTCATATCTGGGGTGTAGGGGAGTAGTAGCCCAACGAAAGCAGGAGAGGCGACGCGGAATGTCGGAGCCGAAGAATAGAATGTTGATATGCTTCCAAAGCTCGCGCATTGAAGATTCAGGGAAGATTGTGTCAAGACTTGCAGATGGTGTGGATGGTGTGATGGCAAAGAACAGTGGCATGTGCTCTTGAACCCATATTTGAAGGTTCATCAAAGCGGCTAGTTGCGTGTTATTAAGAGATTCTAGTGGGCGGTCGAAGTATTTCACTGCTGTTCTAGTCAGTTCCATTGCTTCAGCACGGAGCGCAACGTTCATTTTCAAGGGTTTGTAGCACTGATTTCCGAACTCGTTTTTGGTGCTGTCGGGTTTGAGTTTGGGATGGTCGTGTGGATGTATCTTGCAGTTCCAATGGGACTTGTAGAAACGCGGATCACACTGATCACAGTTGCATGCTGGTTGGGGATCCTGGGCCTCGATAAGTGCGCGAAGACCGTCAAGGGTATCTGGGCACGGGAACGTCTGCTTGCTCCTACGCCGAAGAGCGTCTTTGATGGTAGATTTGATGTGTAACTTGATGTAATCTTGGGGCATCTCCATGACGCAGGAGTGGGTTGGTGGGAGTCGATGTGTTGTGTCCAGGCAGATCTGCAACTCCCCCACAATCCGCTCTATTTGTACCCAGGAATTGGTGTAGAGAATTTGATTCACCCAAAAACATGCAAGCTTCCTCATCTGTAGATCACGTTCGTGCAGTGAAGGGCTACGTACGTTGACGAACTACCGTTGAACTTTTGCATGGAATCTATCGTTGCTCGTCGGCTGCCTAAACGCCACGTAAAAATGCTTCAATGACCTACGCCACCTGCTACCCAATTCATGAAATCAGGGTCGTTTGGATTTGGAAACAGTCCTCTGTCTGGTGGCGGCTGTCCTTCCGCCTGCTGTTGCTGCACCGGCATTCCCTGATTCAGCTGCTGTTGTTGTTCCTGTTGCTGTCTTCTCTCTTCCTCTTGTCTTCTCTGCCTCTGTGTCCTGTAGTACAGCAAGAATGCCAAAGCGCCGCTCAGAGCCAGAATGATGAGCGACTCGAGAATATCCGAATCAATATCGTCGCCGTGGTAGCCGTCACCGTAGTAGTCGTCGCCGGCTGTATGTGTGTCATCGAAGTCATCAGGCTCGTATTCATCCCAGCCGGCGAGTTCGGCTTCGAGGAAAGCGTTGAGCCACTCCGAAAGTGTCCATTGTTTCTTGACGACTGCAGCCATATTAGTACCAGATCGGTCGAAATGTTTTCAGAAGTGGCGTCTTACCGGGCTCCTCTTGGATAGACTTGATGTTGCCATTTGTGAAGGTATTCCACCAACTCCGGATCCTGAGTTTGTACAACGCTAGGATGACGGGTAGGTAAGCCTCGCGCGGATTTGTCTCCAAGGCAAGATCATAATGTCTTTTGGCAAGATGGAAATCTTGATCAATGCCGATGCCATTCTCGTGCATCCAGCCCAAATTCCACATGGCTTGTGCGCTTCGCATGGTCTCTGCTGCTGCTGTGTAACAAGCCACAGCCTTTTCGGAATCAGGATGTGTTCCGAGACCCATCAGATAGTAATCTCCCATCTTGACCATGGCGTCAACATTCTTCTGTTCTGCAGAGCGCGTCCAATATACTAGCGCCAGGAATGCATCGCTAGCCAGCGAAGGCTTCTGCTTCATGAAGGGAACGAGCGAGTCTAAGGTAAAGCGAGGCTTGACTTGGTCGAGAAGGTAGGCGACGTTAGCCTGCGCAACCTCGAAGCCTTGTTCAGCTGCCATCATGTAGCTAACGAGTGCAGTCTCTAGGTCGCCATTCGCGTAAGCCTCATTGGCTTCTGGAAAAGATGTAGAGACAAGCTCGGCCTTCTCTGCGACGATCTTGTAATATGTGGCCGCTAGAGGACAAGACTTGGTGCGAGCGATGCCGTTGTTCGTCATTTCAGCTAAGTAGTAGAAGGCCTCGAGATGCCCATGCCTAGCTGCAAGCTCAAAGTATTTAGCCGCGATGGCGATATCGCCTTGGTCCAGAAAGAGCGCACCAAGTCGGACTTGTGCAACTGCCAAATCCTGGTCTGCAGCTGCACCGAACAGTTCAGCAGCCTTTACAGCGTCCTGAGGCACGCCTAGGCCTTTCAGATACATGATACCCATCGAGTACTGCGACAGTGCATCACCTAACTCCATGCCACGTCGAAACCAGGTTCTTGCGATCTCGAAACTTTGTGGCATACCCTCGCCGCGCAGGAACATCCGGCCAAGATAGCCAGCGGCCTTCGCAGCTAGCTTCTCGGTAGTCGGCGATACATTTGCGTTAATCTTTCCGTCTTTTGTCCAGTACATGCGGGCAAGTTCCAAGAACCGTTTCTTAGCCGCCGGAAGGTCTCGCTTCAACGTTCGTGCGCCGTCGTAATTGAGTTTAGCAAGATTGAATGTGGCCCTAGCATCACCCTTTCGGGCCTGCAGATCCATATATTCGAAGACGTCGTCGAGGGAGGAGAAGGCATCAGATTGAGCGCTTGCAACCTTGGCGTTGGGTCCCGAACTGCTCGTACTTGCACCTTCGCCATACACACCGCCTTGATCGTCAGCGATATTGTATGACTCTCGCGGCATAGAATGCCCGCCTGGTGGACCAGACCGCATGTATGCAATAGCCTTCTCAGCCGCCGCTTTGTAGAAATGTACAGCCTCGTCACAGTTCCGCGGAGTGGATATGCCCGCCGAATGTCTATACGCAACAGCCATTTCTGACCGTACGTCTCCACCTTCAGCGCCCAATGTGTAGTATAGCATAGCCTTGGACTGGTCTTGCTTGACTGCCCCGCCGATGCCAGTCGCGTGCATGAAACCAACCATGTGCTGTGCCGAGGCATTTCCATTCAGAGTCGCGAGCTCGTGGTATCTTCGAAAGGACTCGGAGTAGTTGCGCGGGTGCGTGTAGTTGCCGTAGAAGTTCATCTCGGCGAGAGTAAAGATTGCATCGGGGTTCTTCTGGGCCGCGGCCTCTTCCAACAAGTCAACGGCCTGTGACAGGGAATGTCCAAGTTTCTTGGGCTGCGGGTTCGTGGTCAACAGCTCCTGCTGCGGCGGTCCATTCATGAAGAGCAGGAAGAAGACTTCCTTGGCGTAGTACGCGCTGGTACCCAGTATGCCAGACTTTTTATCGAAATTCCACCATGGCGCCGCAGCCGGTTTGATCGTGTGTAGAAGCGCCATAGCATCGTCAAAGGCCAGTACGCCCTGGTCTGGGTTTACATCTCCTTCTACGTTCCCCCATCCCGACTTCCAAGCCTCTCTGGTCTGCCCCGAAGAAACGCATAAGAATAGCGAGAGAAAGACTGCGGGTCTACCAGTCAGTCAGAAGCTACTTCAGTCGCATGTGCAGATACGTACCAAAAAGAAGCGGCACAAGCCGCTGTAGCTGCGGCCTCATTGCGGGTATATGTCGAAATTCAAAGTAATGGGAAGAAAGAAACTCATGGCGTCATCTCGCGGGGGTCCGAAGCAGAGGCGCGACTACTTGTACGCAGTCGTGGTGCAGTTGTTTGTAGAGGCCAGCTTTCCACTATCACGGCAGTTACGCCCCCCGATGCGTGGCTTCTGCAGCCAATGAGCGTTGACGTCACTTATGTCACACGTTCGCGCGCCGCAACAACGCCGCGTACTTTCCCGGCTTTCACTCATGGGAATCTGGCAAATGTCCTCGCTTGCATCAAGCTTCCGCGCTCTCGCGATATTTCTCCGTCGCTATCTTGCTTCTTTCGCGGACGAAAGCCTGCGGGCAAGGACAACCGACCTCTTTCCGCATTTGTCATCGATGGAAGCACTAACATCCTTGCACGTATCATCATCATGATTCCCGTCTTGTTCCTACGCGTTTTCCTACGCGATGTTCATCTTCCCACTATCGCTCTTTGATAGCACTTTTCTTGTCCCCTGAAATCGTATCGAAGAACCTACATCATGGCAGTCTTGAACGCCTCATCAGAGCGCGCGCCTCTACTTCGGCGTTCGACGTCGCCAAGCTTGTCGGACAGAGATGGTAAAGATGGTGAAGCAGCCATCTCGACGTTAAGAGGGTCACTTATTGTCGGATCTGTTGGTCTTTTGATTTTTCTCCAAGGTATGTCTATCCGATGTCTGAAGCACCATCAGCATGTTTTCTCTTCCCACTTTCGACTATGTGTTGTGCCATCCTTAGATGAGTGAGGTTATGCACCGTGGCAAACTAGTAGAAGCCATTTGGTATTATATTCTCGCGGTACTTTTTCAAACGACGTTCTAATTGCTATGGTAGCCACAAATATCTCCATCCTTACCACAACCCAGTCATCTATTGCTGCAGACTTAGATGCCTTCGAAACCGCTAGCTGGTTTACTTCTTCGTACCTCATCGCCATGTCCTCTCTCGCTCCCTTAATGGGACGACTATGTCAGGTCTTTAGTCCGCGTCTATGCATGTTCTTTTCCACCATGTTGATCTGCATTGGATCGGTCACAACGTCCACCTCCGTATCTTTCGAGCACTTCATTCTTGGTCGCGTGGTGACTGGAGCTGGTGGTGGTGGCATCTTCATTGTTGCTAGTATCATGGCAATTCAGATGACTAGCCCAAAACGGAGAGGCCTCTACATGGGTCTTGCCAACACTGCAATGACGGTCGGTGTCTCGCTAGGAGCGGTGATAGCGGGTGCGCTTGAACCCAGGATCGGATGGGTAAGCTGTTACTCTAACTCCAAGTCATCGTCAGTCGCTTATTGACACGTGCAGAAACCACTTTTTGGTATACAAGCACCAATAAGCTTAGTGGCCGGCTTGGGTCTGCTGTTCTCTATTCCAGCTAGCCATACATCAAAGAACATCAAGTACGAAAGCCTCTCGATTCGTGAGAAGCTCGCCCGCATCGACTACTCTGGAGCGCTCCTCCTGACCACCACCATTGTACTCTTTCTTCTCGGCTTGTCTGGTCCAAAGGTCCTCCCAACACCCATTATTCTATCGGCCCTCGCTCTGCCAGTCTTCGTTCTCAATGAGGCCTACGTCGCTGGCGACCCTGTCATTCCAGTCTCTGTGCTGCGGTCGCGCGGTACCCTATTGACCTGCCTCGCCACGACTGGTTTTATGATGGCTCGTTGGAGTATCCTTTTCTACACGCCCGTGTATGCGCTTGCCGTTCGAGGCTGGGCGCCTGCCGTTGCTGGCTCGATCCTCATCCCTACGAATGCCGGCTTCGCAACTGGCGGTCTTCTTGCTGGCATCTTTCACATCAAACGCACAGGCAGCTTCTACCTCCATACTGTTGTCGCCATGGCACTTTTCCCAATCACGATGGCTGTGCTCGCCCTCATCTCCACGCCCACAAGTCCATGGGCTCTATACGTTGCCATGGTCTTCCTCAACGGCCTTGTCACTGGTGCTGCAACAAACTACGCATTAGTCCATCTCCTACATCTTACGCTGCCAGAGGTCCATCCGATTGTCATCTCCCTCCTTGCTACCTTCCGCGGCTTTTCTGGCTCTTTTGGCTCAGCGATTGGTGGTGGCTACTTCGTCCGTGTGCTGCACAAGTCTCTGGACAGGGGCTTTGCGAAAGCAGGGCTGAAAGGCCGCGGTGAGCTTATTAGGAGATTGCTGGGAAGTCCTGCACTTGTGGGAAAACTGGAAGGTAAGGATAGGATCGTTGCCGTTGGGGCATATGCGGATGCACTCAAGGCGTTATTTCTCTGCGCCGTAGGGCTCTCGGTTATTGTTGTTCTTGTACAGGCCGGTACAGGTTGGAAAGAACCGATAAAGAGTGAGAGTCAGAGGGAGGAAGAAGAGGCTGACGCCGAAGATGGGGTGCCTGCAGGTGCTTGAGTACCACATAGGTAAAGCGGTCCTTGGAACAAATGTACATCGGAACTACATTGACATCTGCATGCTGAACCGCATCCTTTATCCTGTCAATCTCCAAGCATCCACTTCCTAGTACTTCAAGGAACTCCACGCCGGAGCGCTTCGAGAGACAAGCCCTTGAGCGCAGGGACTTCTTGTAAGTATGTAGGTCTACACATACCATTCAATGGTTCCATGGCTGTATATACGCGTTGAGAGGCACACTTTGATGTTCCCCAATCACCTCGTTTTGTGGCTCTACTATTTCTCATCACCAGCTCTCGTGTAACCCTTCCCGAGTGACCTGTCATTTTTCATCCGGTACTGTTGGTACCCGACATGCATACTGGCGACGCTGTCTCCATGCTCTCTTTCCTTCCACCACCTTCCATATTGCATCTTCCGGCTTATGTTCGGTCTCGCTTCGAGTGTTTGTTGTTGTCGGTGCAGGGTCCATGCTACGTCGCGCCTGCCTGTATAAGATTTTCCACGCTCACCTTCAGTCTCTACTACCTCGCCTCACGATATCACCAACGACGTACGAGATTGGTTATACTATCAGCAGACGCCGATTGTATTGCCGACTGTCTGCGATACCTACTCTCACCGCACAATGTAAGTCTCTCTCCCTTCCAGTGTCTAGACTGTAAGTCTCCAAGTTGAGACAGTGGGCTCCACGAGTTTGCATGAGCACATTACCGACTTTGGCCCTCGGTCAAGCATAGCACACGCTCGAAGCTATACTTCAGCAGCAGCCACCGATGCCACGTCCAACATCTGCTGCACCTCAGTGAACCGCCGCTTCTTTCCAAGGCACAAACAGCTAACCTATACTACGCCCAGACTCAGTCCCTTCTTTCTCAAAGAATCCGCATCATGGCTCGTGGCTCAACTGCTATCATGTCAAATCTTGTGGCCAATCCCTACCCCAAGGCGAAGGAGCATGTCGCTCGCATTTCTCTTTGCGAAGTCTGCGATCGCCAGATCCTTACTAAGGACTGGGCCAGTCACAAGAACTCTAGAAAGCACCGGGCGGCTGAAGCTAAAGAACGTGAAGAGGTAGAGAAGTTGAAGAATCCCGGAGGTAGCTTCGGCGGCGACGCGACTGGCTTCGGCGACAGCAACGAATTCGGCGGTGCTGGTCAGTTCGCAAATGCCAACGAGTTCGGCGGTGCTGCTAATTCTACCAACGATGGCTGGGGCTCTGGTGGCGATTTCGCTAATACCAACACCGGTGGTGGCGATCGGGCCTGTTACGGGTGCGGTCAAACTGGACATCAGAAGCGCGACTGCCCATCTGGTGGCGGTGGCGGTGGCGGCGGCGATCGTGCCTGCTACGGCTGCGGTCAGACCGGTCACCAGAAGCGCGACTGTCCTCAGGGCACTGGTGGTCAAGCTTGCTTCAACTGCGGTGAGACCGGGTAAGTCTAATATCTTCGTACTATTTACTAGTGCCGTGCTAACGTCTCATTAGCCATCGTAAGACCGACTGCACTCAGCCTCGAAAACCTATGGCTGGTGGTGGCGGCCGGACTTGCCATAACTGCGGAGATGAGGGCCATATGTCACGTGAGTGCGACAAGCCTCGTGTGATGAAGTGCCGCAATTGCGATGAGGAGGGTTACGCATCGCGCGAGTGTCCAAAGCCTCGTGACTGGAGCCGAGTCAAGTGCCGTAACTGTAACAACTTCGGTCATGGCGAGAAGCGATGCCCGGAGCCTCCTGCTGAGAACACCGGCGGTGACTGGGGTGGTATCGGGGATTCGACAGCTGCAGCTGGAAGTTGGGGCGTTGCTCCTGTTGAGTCGACGGGCAATTGGGCTGATGATACCACTGCGGCGGTCGATGCCGACGTTACTTCTGCCTGGTGAATTATCCTGGAGATTTACAACTGCTTGTTGGCTCGATGATGTTTTAGCATCGCCCAACATACGCAATATCTTCAACGATAACTGACCAACCTGGGAATCTATCGATACGACAGCTATAGGCAAGGAAGAACTCGAAGCTTAGTTGAGCTCGCAATCAAATGATGGATAGGGGCTGGAGAGAGTCGGGCAGTCTACGGATACGCAGTTTCATGCGAAGCAGGGCACAGTCCTATACAGCTAGGGACTAGAATACGTACAACGAGGTATTCTCAAAATGACAACCAAATGTGAATTACCACACAGGCTCGTACATGACAGCCTGACCC